GCGTCGGCACCTTTGATGCGCGTGGCGTGCCACGACCCTACACCCGCGACGACTTTCTACAGATTTACCCACACTGGCGCGACCCCACGGAAAAACTCACCGTGGAACAGGAGGAAGAATTGGCGCGCCGCGAAGCAGAAGAGCTTCGCCAACAGAGCCTCGTCGAGGCACGCGGAACATTCGCTTGCGCCGCATGGGGCGCCGAAGCAGAAGAAAGCGCCTCCAATGAAGGGGGGTGGGGGAGCGCCGGCGGATGGGGAACAGCCGATACCAGCGAATGGGGCAACACCGGCGGAACATGGGCAACCGGAACCGGCGGATGGGGCGTCGCACCTGGCGGCGAAACGAGTGGCTGGGGCGCCTCTGCTGGAGGCTGGGAGACTTCCCGCGAAGAACAAAAGGGGGGGGAATCTACAGTTGTTCCCCTCGGACATCCCCCGCGCCATATCCCACTCGCGTCACCTCCCCCTGACATTCCGCCGCACCGCGATCCCTGGGACACTATCCGCTGGGGCAACGAACCATCAACTCCACGCCGCACCGTCTACGGACCTGCTCCCGAACCGCGCGAACCTACTTTCGTGCCCGAAATTATTCCCGGGACCAACATTCCACTCTCCGAAATTCGTGACGGAGAGTTTCTGGCGCTGATGCTGACTACCGCGGCAGAAGAAGAAGAAGCAGAGGAAGCAGCAGCAGAACCTGCTCCCGTACCTGATGAAGACCCGGAGGAAGCCCGCGCGCGCTACATGCGCACCTCCGGCTTTCGCGCCGACGATGCACTTTGGCACCAGCGCCTCGGACACCCTTCACGCGCGACACTGAAGAACTGCATCGACGTCGGAGACTTTGCCCCAGGAGCATTGCTCCGCCCCGACAGCACCGAAGTGAGAGGCGCGACACATCCGCGCAACTGCACCGTCTGCCCCGAAGCTGCATTAAGCCACCAGCCGTTCCCGCTGCTCGAGCCAGGAACGAACCGCTACCCCAAGCTGCACAAAGTGTACAGCGATTTTCTCAACGTGGGGCATTGCGGAGTCGACGACGAGCTGTACACACTTACCTTCATCGACGCTGGAACACGCTATGTGTGGGTCGCGAACATAGAAACTCGCGACAGAGCCTACGAGGTGTTCCGCCTACGAGGTGTTCCGCCTTTGGTTGGCGCATGCGCAGCGGCAATCCGGGAAGAAGCTGAAAATTTGGCAATCCGACAGCGCAGCGGAGTTTAGGAGCAATCAAATGCAGAGCTACCTGGCGCAAAAGGGGATCGAGCATCACATTTCTCTCCCCTACGCACATCAGCAGCAGGGCGTAGCCGAGCGGACGAACCGCACACTGATGACGAAGGTGCGGGCGCTGATGAAGCAGTCAAAGCTGCCGCCGATTTACTGGACCTACGCGATGCACCACGCCGTGCGGGTGCACAACCTGCTTTCAACCACTGCAATCACCGGGAACCTCTCCCCGCATGTCAAATGGACCGGGACCAAGGGGGATACCTCCATGCTCCGCGTGTGGGGATGCATGGTGCAGTACCGCCCGCCGACATCAACCATCGGCAAATTTGCCAGCCGCGCGCGCTGGGGAATTCACCTCGGCATCAGCCACGAGTACAAAGCGTGGATCGTGCTGGACCTCCTCAGTCAGAAAACCGCCCACGCTCGCGACGTAATCTTCTACGAGCGCCTCTTCCTCGACCAATTCCGTCACGACGAGGAAACGAACGCGAATCGCGTTTACGCGAACGACGGGCACAGCTACGCAACGCCCGAAGACGAAGCCGCTGCAGCAATACTGGAGCAGGATACAAGAGGCGAGTTCACGTGGGAGGATCGGCGCAGCAGCGACGACGACGACGATTCCTCAGGAGGAGGAATGGGCGGAACAGGCGGAAGCGGCAGAAGCACAGCACCACCAGCGCCACCTGAACCAGAGAGCGATGACGACGATGTGCAGGAAGTCATCCCACAACGTCGCCACGACAGCACCGTCTCAGGACTGCAGCTGCTCGGGCTTCACACCGCAACCTCGAGGAGTGGCGCGAGGCAATGGACGCAGAGATTAAAGCGCTCGAGTCCCGAGACACCTGGGTATTAGTCGACCGCGCGGCAATCAAAGGCGCAAGAATCCTCTCGGGCAAGTGGGTCTTCCGCGTGAAGACCGCAGCGGACGGAACGATCGAGCGCTTCAAGGCGCGCTGGGTGGTGCGCGGCTACGACCAGAGGCACGGGATTGACTTCGACCAGACGTTTGCTCCAGTCAGCCGTCATACCTCCGTTCGAATCCTGCTCGCCATCGCAGCTGCAAGGCACCTACCTCTCCGCCAGATCGACGTCAAGAACGCGTTCTTATACGCGCTAGTAGACGCCGTGATTTACGTGGAGCAGCCGCATACATACGGTGAAGGGGACTCGCGCGTGTGCCAACTGCGCAAGTCACTCTACGGGATCAAGCAGGCGCCGAGGCTGTGGCAGCAGTACCTACACAACATCCTGCTTGAAATCGGATTCAAGCAGATGCCGCACGATCCAGGAATGTACCGCCGCGACTTCCGCGGGGAATACATTCTCCTCACGGTGTACGTCGACGACCTGCTCTACACAGGCTCAAACAACGAGCTACTCGAGCAGTTCGAGAAAGCCTTGGCGGGGCGCGTCGACATCACATGCAACTATGAGGTGAAGCAGTCCTGAGGCCTCAACATCTCCTACGCGCCTGAGGCCATTCACCTTTCAGCGGCTAAGTACGCAGAGGAGCTAGGGAAGCGGTTCAACATTTCACCTGCACCTCTCTCAACTCCCTACCGAACCCCTGGACCGAACCACAAACCTGACAACAAAGCCCTACCCCCTGCTGGAATTCAGACTTACCAGCAGCAGCTGGGATGCCTGCTCTTCGCCTCCGTCACCTGCAGGCCAGATCTCTCCTACATCGCAAGTCAGCTGGCCCAGTACTCACGCAAACCAACGGCTGAGAATCTTCTGGATCTGCAGCGCGCCCTGCAGTACCTCGTCTCAACGCCCAAGATTGGGCTATGCTACTCAACTGCACCAACCCCATCCTTCAATCTCATCGGCTACGTGGATGCCGATCATGCAGCAGATCCCGACAATCGACGGTCCAGGACTGGCTTCCTGTTCCGACTCGAACCAACGGGACCAATCTCCTGGAACTCGCAGAAGCAGGAGCTGGTTGCCCTGTCATCAGCCGAAGCGGAATTCATCGCAGCAACCGCAGCAGTTTGCGAAGGACTCTACTTGCAGAAACTCCTGCAGGAAGCGAAACTTCCAGCTTCGCCCACCTTTCGTCTTCACTGCGACAACCAGAGCGCGATTCGGATCGCGAACAAACCTGGTTTCGTTAACCGCACCAAGCACATTGCGCTGCGGTACTTCTTCGTGAAGGACGAGGTGGACAAGGGTATAGTCAACCTGACTTATTGCCCGACCGGTGACATGGCAGCGGACTTCCTCACGAAGCGACTGCCACGCCAGCAGTATCAACACTGCTCCGAACTCAGCGGCGTGGTCAAGCAGGTCAAGTCAAGCTACGGCCAGGAGTGAAGGGGGGTGTTACGAATAGTAATGATAGTTCATTACTGTGCACTCCTCACCGCAGCAAAGGAAGCATGCAGTATCGAGAGTGAACACGAAGAGTCAGAGTTGACTCGAAGCGTCAGACGGTTAAGGCGCATCTGGACCGTCGGAGCAGATGGCATCGGACAGCTGCAGGCAGGATGGCTTTGGCGGGAACGGTTTCGTAACTGTACGCGCCGCACGGTTGGGAATGAATTTGAATAAGGGAATGTACCCCTTAGAGTACATGGCTAGCTAGGACGTTTCGTCTTCCCTGTACTCATATTTATATCGTTGTACTTGCATGTTTTAATCATCTCAAGCATTTTACATTCACTCTGCTATTGAGGTCAAGGGCCCACCAACTTCATTTCTCTGTGCGAACCTTCCCGAGTAGATCCTGGGAACGATCAACTTCTGATCGCAACAAGAAAGAAGCATCCAGATTACTGGAGCAGTATTCTATTTAAAATCCTCACTACCACCTTGCAACAAACCCAGTCTCGCGTACCTCACTTTTTTTCGTAAATTCAGGTGCTAGCTGGTTCGTGCATGCACACCATCAGGAGTTGCTGCGACTTGTGGTTGGATGGCCTAGTCCACGTCACAATTGCGGGAGGCGATCGGGGGGATCACTTCCAGACACTCGTTGAGATCTTATTTCTCAGAGAAATAACTCATTATTGATTGTCCTCCTCTGGCATCGTCAGCTTTAGGCAAGTGCTCCATGCACCAGCGTTCCCTTGTGCACGCCACGTTGGCTTTGTCACAGCTGCGACCCGCTGACGACGGATCGCAGAGGCGCTGACGTAGCGCGATTGTTGGAACCTTTCGAGTCGCACCTTGTCCGGTCCATTTCCGTTTCCCACAACAGAGCCAATCCACGTCCCGCAATTGTTCGTCTGACCTGTGAATTGCGGTCGATGTGGTTTGTGAAGTCAGAAATACTGTAGTTTGTGGTGGGGTGGGGCGAATCGGAGAGTGTACTGTACACCTGAGGTTGGCGAGGAAGTTCGATCATCCTCCCAAATGAAACCCAGAGACACACACCACACACCGCACACACGGTACCGCACTACAACACTCATCATACACCATACACCACACCGCAGCACTGCAAGGAAAGCAGTGAATGCTGCTGATCCGCGCGCAACCACCCACCAACAGCAGGGTGGAAGAAGCAGGGCACTCCACTTCACCTACCTCTGAATAGTGGACATGGCGCATGTATAAAACGCGGATATTCATTTCCTCATCTCAGTCACGTGGTTCGTTGAGATATTCTGCCTGACTGCTTGCTCTCAGTCGCTCGCTTGCACCTGATCGAAACGTCAAGTAGAACATAAAGACCGCTTCCCGCTTTCATAGACAATTCTTCAAGACTTCCTGGTGTCAATCTCCCTTCGATCACAACTGGACGCAATGGCTGCTGCAGCACTTGCTCGTTCTTCCACGCTAGCACCCGTGAAATCCATCAGCCTTCTACTGTCGCAAAACGTCACAAGCAAACAACGCACCCTAGCTCCCCAATTCTGGCTCTCCAAGCCGTCTCGCCCTTCACCAATCCGCTGCGAGGCCCCACCGACCATGACAGAACGCGAACAGAACCGCCAACTGAAAGTCGCGCCGTCGTCCCTCGAATACAACGACCGGATGAAACGACAGATGGCGAATCCGTACGAGTACCACCACGAGCTCGGAATCTACTACACCCGCGTGCACCCTAAGATCATCGTCGGCTCGCAGCCGCAAACACCGGAGGACATAGACCGTCTGCAGCGTGACGAGGGCGTGCAGGTGATTCTTAATCTCCAGCAAGACCACGACATGGCGTACTGGAGCGTGGACATCGGCGCCATCATCAAACGGTGCAGGGAGCGCCATGTGGAGCATCACCGCCGGCCAGCCGTTGATTTCGATCCCAATTCGCTCCGCCATGAGCTTCCCAGGATGGTTGCAGTGATCGCCAAGGCCGTCGCGGAAGGGAAAACCGTCTACGTGCACTGTACCGCGGGTCTCGGCAGGTCTCCGGCAGCTGTGATAGCGTATCTGTTCTGGTTCGCCGAGCCGCGCGTGGACCTGAACGGCGCGTACGACCACGTTACATCTCTCCGCCCGTGCGGTCCCAAGAAGGACGCCATCCGCGGCGCGACATACGACTTGGCGAAGAACAGTCCATACCAGCCGCAATTCGAGCACCTTCCGGATTTCGCGTTTACTGACGTGGCGCAGTGGGAGAGAGACCTTATCCGCCAGCGCGTGTGGTCTCTAGCTTAAGCGGAAAGTTGCTGTTGCGGTTGCGACTCTGCAGAGGCTGCTGAACGGTTGGCCAGGCTGTTCTGTACATTCACGCCAGCGCAGCAGCACAGGAGTCCCTTTTTTTATCACCCTGCGGCGGGTGGTTCTATAGTCCTAGCGGCAGCATAGGATGTCCTTACTAAGTAGTACTTCGTGGGGGATTGCCATGAGAGGGTTTGGCCTCGCGGGATTTTGCCGCCACGACTACCGTGGCTGGCAGGCTGCTCCCAGTACTAGTTTCTGACATACACTGATCTGTAGTCACCCATTCATTCATTAATTCATTCATTGATTTTGATCGTGCATTCACTCTCCAATTCATCAACAGCCAATGATGACCTTCATAAGAACGCACGACATTAAACGTGTCCTAGGCTCGAGAACAAGTACTTTCCGCCAGACACTAGCTCATCGTTTCCCAACCATCAGCACCTCCATTTTCCGAGTACCTTGTGCTTCAATACGCCACTATAAAAAGCGGCTCGCGTCGAAGAAAATCACGTCCTCGTTCCCCACAACGCGGGCATAGTGACGCTTGCCAGCGGGAACCTCGATACAGTCACCCGCCTCTAAAATCACATCTGTGCCGTCCATACGGAACAAGAAGCGCCCCGACAGGATGCTGTCTTTCTTGTGCACGCCGTGCGTGTGCTCTGGAAACTCCGTGCCAGGCGGGAAGACATAGCGGGTAACGCTGTAACCCTCCGCCTGGAGCCGCTCCTTCATAGCACGCTCCGAGAGCTGCCCGTACACGGCAGCGTCCCATTTCTCCGGCCGAGCCGCACGCACTACTGTAGGTTTCGAAACAGCCGCGACGGGGCCGAAGTGTTTGAGTGTACGGGAGAGTGGGATTGTCCTCTGTGGGATTCTCAAGACCGAAGCCATAGCGGCTATGTGAGCTTGCGGGGGATGCGGGAGCGGAGTGCAGGCCGAGGAAATGGAGTTGCTGGTTTGGTGGGAGGTGGAGTGGGGTTCGAGCAGCCATGCGAGAAGGGGAATGTGCAGTTTTCGATACAAACGGTCCCACGGTTTCTTAGAACAGAATAGGTTTCCAGACATATCAAGAAGTTATAATCGCATAAGCCTCTTATTCGGATAAGGCATACAAATACACCTTGGCTTTTTCCTCAAGTTGTGAGCCCAAACATCAATTCACATAAAACATTGTACTTCTGATCACCCAGTGATCATGGTGCCAGCACCCTCATCCGTAAGCACCTCGAGCAGCAGCGAGTGTGGCTTGCGGCCGTCAATAATGGCAGTGGAATGCACGCCCTGGGCGAGAGATCGGATGCAGCACTCCACCTTGGGAATCATGCCTCCCTTCACAATTTCATCTGCTATCAGCTTGCGAATGCCCTTGATATCCACCTCCTTCACGAGGCTGCATAGTGCGTGAAGATTCAACAGCGCAGGTATGCACAAGGGGTGAAAGAATACATGAGCAGAAAAAAAGGGTTACTGATCAGGAGAGGTTTGAATAAAGGGTGCGAAGATGGTTTACGGTTGATAAGGGAGCGAGGGATGGTAAGACTGTAGAGATTTATGACCTTGGGTGTGCAAATGTCATCACCCCTGTAACCCCGGCTTATAATCAGTTCCAGCTTGCTGGAAAGTACAGCATTGATGGATCCCGGTTGAATCCCAGAAACAACATTCAGGTGGGATCATGAATTAACCAAGACGCAAGGACAGGTTTGTGCACACTTCCTTCACAACACTCCTGCACCCAGCGATTACATCACTGCTGCATGACCTCAATCCCCATACCCTACAATAACCACCAACATACCTGCCAGCTTTCAGGATTCCAATCATCCAGACTCTCATCCACATGGCCTCGCCTGCTGTGTGTCAAGTTTCAATGGAATTCCTATCCTTCGAGTGTAATTTTCCAACGAATTAACCATGACTACTGTCATTTGACACGCCTCACCTCGCATGGTGTCACTCGCCTGTCAGACTCCTTCAAGTCGATCATCACTCCCCGCACGTCCGTCATCAGAATGAGCTTCTCCGCTCCCTGCGATGCCGCAATCTCCTTTTGAGTCGACTCAAAAGTCAGCAGTCGCATGGTCTCACCTGTCAGACTCCTTCAGGTCGATCATCACACCCGGCACGTCCGTCATCAGAATGAGCTTCTCCGCTCCCAGCGACGCCGCAATCTCCTTTTAAGTCGACTCAAAAGCAGTCGCATGGTCTCACCTGTCAGACTCCTTCGGGTCAATCATCACCCCCGGCACGTCCGTCATCAGAATAAGCTTCTCCGCTCCGAGCGACGCCGCAATCTCCCCTGCCGCCGTGTCCGCGTTCACGTTATACGCCTGCCCCTCCGAATCCGCCGCCACCGTTGCAATAACGGGGATGATCCCGTCGCGAACCAGCCCTTTTACGACAGTGGTATCCACATTCGAGATGTCGCCAACGAATCCCAGATCTTCGCTAGCCTGTCGCGCGGTGATCATGCGACCGTCCTTCCCGCACATTCCCACAGCAGTGCCACCGGCGCGATTGATAAGCGACACAAGCGACTTATTCACCTTCCCTACAAGCACCATTTCCACCACTTCCATCGTAGGCCCGTCAGTCACACGCAGACCGTTTTTGAAATTCGGCTCAATGCCTATCCGCGTCAGCCACGTGTTAATCTCCGGTCCCCCTCCGTGAACCAGCACGGGGCGCAAGCCGACGCAGGATAGAAGCACGAGGTCTTTAATCACACCCTCTTTAAGCGTCGGGTCCTTCATCGCCGCGCCGCCGTACTTCACGACGACGGTCTTGCGTTGGAACCGTTGGATAAAAGGAAGTGCTTCAGAAAGAATGTCGACACGATCGAGGGCCGTGAACTCTTGCGCGAGTGCAGATCGGACGGTCGTGGTGCGCTTGGCGGATCGCGAGCTGCGAGATCTGGTAGAACGCGCGGTCGCTGGGATCACGGAACGGTTTGAAGGGACGAACGAGCTGTGAGATGAAAGATTTCCAGCGGCTGACGTGGACGCTGATTTGCGCAGAAAGGAGGCAGAACCTGCAACAGAGGCCTGCAATGCTGCTGATGCTGCCGCCATTGTGATGCAAATATCCCAATCTCCTGCAGCTGTTTAGACTCCGCTTCCGCCTGCGAGCGGATACAGCTAAATCAGGACGTGGAAACGCGAAAAATGCTGACGAGAAAACGCAACTTAGGAAGACCTGGAATGGTCGCCCATAAACTCTCCTTCAACCCTGAAACAACGAATGATGTTGTTCTTGATATGTAGAAGCGCAAGGTTTGAGCTATGCGCCTTCTTCCCCAATACCCCTTTTGCTGCCACTCTGTTGCTTCGAAAAGGGTTCAGGGCGGCTCGCAGCAGTGTGGAGCGGTGCGCCGGGTTCTTGTGAGCCAACCAGCTCCCAAACCAAACCCGCTACACTGCTCCGCACCAGCGCGCACTGCACACCAAGGCGTGCTGCAACACGTCGTCTCGTCAGAGATCTCCATTCCACGCAAGCAAAGCTCGACTCACCTCGCGACTCGATTCGTGAGCGCTGTCTGCGCTGCTCCAAGGTGTGCGCGTGGCCATTCGAGCCGCAGTGGGTGCGTCATTGCGGCGGGTACTTCCTTCCGATTTGTCAAGATTTTGAGCATAAAGTGCCACGGCGGACAGACCATCCAATCACGTGTTCCTCGAGATGTACGCAGCAAGCCAGCTCCTCAAAGTGTCCATGCTTTGATGAAGTGCACTTCCATTTCACATTCCACTACAGTAGCATGTATAAACACACTTTACCGCTTCTAAATACTTGGCAATTTGCTGCTGCAGTCCAATTTTTTCCCCACCGACAACAGCTTATCAATAGCTCCATCCTTATTATACCGTGCGACCACCTCTTTAGCGTACTTGGGGATGTGTTGCTCCGCCCTGTTTCATTCAAACAAAACAGAATGCGAACTAAGAAACCAAGTGGATTGCCGAAACATCCACCTTTTAACACTAGTCACTCACCCTTCCTATGCCCGCATGCGGTACACGTGATGGGAATTGCTGGGGGGGGGGAGGAGAGGGAAATGGGGGGTGCCACCATCACAACCCCAGCATTAGAACATGGGTGACTCGCTTACCTTTCCTTCCCCCATACGCGGTGCACGTGCAAATAGTTGCGAATGGTGTGGTAGTCGAGTGAGTAGCGTGCAAACTCCAGGCCCTTGGGGCCCACCTGAGTGGGATACATAGGGGGAGCAATAGGCACATGGCGGAGGCACGAAGAAGGGCATAGGGGGGGGAAGAGGGGGAGAGAGAGAGATGAGTGAGGAGCGTGCAAGCTCGAGGCCCTTGGGGCATAGAGGGAGATACGGGGTGGTCTCCACCTGAGTGGGAGATGCAGAGAGGGAAATATGGGGGGAGTCATTTGGGGGCGACAGATGGGGGAGACATCTTGGGATGGGAGAAACACTGTGCAGCACATGCAAGGTGAGATAAACAAGGGGAGAATAAGATGCAGCTGTGTTGGTGATACCTAAGTCTGAACAAGCAGCACCCACAAATGAGATGAGACGCACACACACGAAGGCAATGAGCCACCAGGTCGAGCAGGAAGTCAACGATGTGGCCGACGAGCATGGGAGCGGGGTTGAGGCTTTCTGTGCCCACCAGGCCACCGGGAACGTTAATCAGGCTGATGCGTTGCAACAAGACAAACTCACCCCGCCAGGTCGAGCAGGAAGGCAACGATGTGGCAGACGAGTCTGGGAGCTTTCTGTGCCCACCAGGCCACCGGGAACGGTAATCAGGCTGATGTGTTGCAACAAGACAAACCCAACCCACCAGGTCGAGCAGAAAGGCGATGATATGGCCAACGAAGCTGGGAGCAGGATTTATCTTCTCTGTGCCCACCGGGCCAGCATGAATCTCAATGGTATGTTGAAAAGCAGCACCCACCAGGCCAAGCAGGAAGGCAATGATGTGGCCGACGAGTCTGGGAGCAGGATTTATCCTTTCTGTGCCCACAGTCGCCTTGTCGTCTGCTTTCACCGTCTCCATCACAAACGGGCGGCGATCTCCCTGTTGGTGGACGGCGGGAGGAGAGCAATGGTTGCATGTGGTGGGATGGGACGGTGGAAGGAGAGAAGCGAGTGGAGGGAGAGGGGAGGCGGAGAGAGAAGAGGAGAGGAGAGGAGATGGGGAGGAGAGAGGAGGAAAGATGAGGAAAGAGGAGGAGAACGAAAGAGGAGAAAGGAACAGATGCGAGGAAAGGAGAGGAGAGGAGATGAGAGAAGAGAAGACAAGAGTGGTCTAGCCTTTAAGGGAGGGATAGGGAGCAAACCAGGAGGGGGGTGAGGGAACAAACCATGCCATCGATGACATTGCTCATCTTAAAGCTCAAGCCCAAATAGTGCAAGATTAGTAATCTTGCGTAATGGTTTGGGCTGGTGGTTTGGGAGGTGAACAGAAAGTCGAGAAAGTGTTGGGAGGGTGGGGTGGGGTTGACTGGTTTCGCACAAGCTCTCGCAACACTTGCTGAGTCAGCAAAACCCAGGGCCAACTCTCTGCTGGGTTCCGAGAGGCGTCAAAAGACTTTTGAGGCGCCTCAAAAGTCGCCAGGGCCATCTCTCTGCTGGGTTCCGAGAGCCCTAAATTGGGGTATACTGAAACTTGAAGCTTCCGCAGTGAGATTGGCCTCGACCAATCAGATTCATTCGTACCTAGTGAAACCTACATTCGCCAAATCACAGCACCCAAAACAGCAGCTGCGCAAGATTAGTAATCTTGCCCAGCGCGGTCCGCAACTCTATGTGGAGAAAGACGCTGGGGGCGTCCTGCGTCCTGCATCCGGACGCAACGTCCGGACGCGGAGACGCAGGACGCGCGTCCGGACGCAGGACGCACCGCGAGAATTTTTTTGGGCAGACCGGGAAAAAAAATTCGCGATCGCGAAATTGACATTCGCGATTTCGTCGCGAATGTCATTTTCGCCAAATTTCGATGCCCCAAACCAATTTCGACCACCAAAAACAGCCAGCTAACCCCTTGGAAATTTGCATCTCACCATGCTCTATAACTTTTGGGGGAAATTTTGTCTTTGGGGTGAAATTTTGCAATGAAAGTGGGCTACGGCCCTGTTCCCCCACTTCCCTCTGCCCCCGGGTGTTTTTTCTGCCTGCCCGGGCCTGCGTCTTTTGCTGCGTCTCATCAGCCAGAATCTTGCGTCCTGCATCTGAACGCATGCGTCCTAGACGCAGGACGCGTCTTTCTCCACATAGCTGCAATTTGGCCCTAGAGATTTCAAGGCAATACCAAGAGCAGCAGTATTGAGTCATTACCGAGGAGACAGTTGGCGTGACTTGCAGCTGTGGGCGAATGAGGTCCAGCATCTCCCCCCCCCTCTCATTCCTGCAGTGCGACAGTAATTCGGGAGGAATAGGAGGGAGACTGGCATGATGTGAAAAAAGAATGGGGGGAGAGAGGTCACGGAAAGGGGGGTGCAGCTGTGGGCGACTGAGGTCCAGCATCTCTGCCCCCCTCTCATTCCTGCCGGGTGGCTCTTATGCACAGGGAGGGAGACTGCCATTTCTGTTGAGTATTTCGAGAATTGACTGACTCCACTCCATGATGGGAGTGGCAGGGCAAAAAGTGGAAAGCACAAGAGGTAGAGCAGGAAGCAAGGGAGATTTCTCCTTGGAGTGCTGAGTCCGTGGATGGATGGCAGGGAGAAGGTGCAGAGGGGGATGCACATACGGATGGGGTTAAGTCCTGCTAACCTGACTGTGATGTACTGCAGATGGTCCGTCATGGCAACGCCTTGCTGCTTGGGCACTCCCATGTACCCCACCACTATGTCCTGTGCTCATGCGATGGGTGTGATGGGTATGAAGAGAGGTTGCAGCTTAACATACTTCAGTGTACGGGAACCGACAGGCAAGATGGCTCACGGCAAGGGAAGAGGAAAACTTGCGGGAAGGAAAACGAGACTTACAGCGAGGCCATTGGTATAGTCAAAGCAACTGGCACGTGCAAATTCAAGGTGACATGGGAGGAGTAGCGGGGGGGGGAGAGGGAGAGAAGGAAGGAGAAAGAAGGGGACGATGCACAGGATACCGAAGTCAGATTATCATGGCAAAGGCTTACATGAAAACATGGCAAAAGTACCCTTGGTTTGATGAGCACAAACAAGTGACGTGAACACAGGAATCACATTATATTTCTGAAACGATAGTTAAGGACAATATTTCTGAAACGATTGAAGTTAACGTTAGGTGTTAGGTGTGATGCGACTGTTGATCACAGGATCAACCGGAGATGGCATAGGATCAACCGGAGAGCATTTTCAAGAATTCTAAGAAGTAACGCCCATTGGATTATCCAGAGTGCACGCACCTATAGCAGGAAGGGGCAATGACATCTTTAAGGTCCGATGCTGGCAGGCAGAAGTAGGGCACCTGTGGTTGGAAGAAAGGAGGTGGGTGCAAGGAGGTAGGTGCAAGGAGGTGGGTGCAAGGAGGTAGGTGCAAGGAGGTGGGTGCAAGGTGGTAGGTGCAAGGAGGTGGGTGCAAGGAGGTGGGTGCAAGGAGGTGGGTGCAAGGAGGTGGGTGCAAGGAGGTGGGTGCAAGGAGGTGGGTGCAAGGAGGTAGGTGCAAGGAGGTGGGTGCAAGGAGGTGGGTGCAAGGAGGTGGGTGCAAGGAGGTGGGTGCAAGGAGGTGGGTGCAAGGAGGTGGGTGCAAGGAGGTGGGTGCAAGGAGGTGGGTGCAAGGAGGTGGGTGCAAGGAGGTGGGTGCAAGGAGGTGGGTGCAAGGAGGTGGGTGCAAGGAGGTGGGTGCAAGGAGGTGGGTGCAAGGAGGTGGGTGCAAGGAGGTGGGTGCAAGGAGGTGGGTGCAAGGAGGTGGGTGCAAGGAGGTGGGTGCAAGGAGGTGGGTGCAAGGAGGTGGGTGCAAGGAGGTGGGTGCAAGGAGGTGGGTGCAAGGAGGTGGGTGCAAGGAGGTAGGTGCAAGGAGGTGGGTGCAAGGAGGTGGTGCAAGGAGGTAGGTGCAAGGAGGTGGGTGCAAGGAGGTGGGTGCAAGGAGGTGGGTGCAAGGAGGTGGGTGCAAGGAGGTGGGTGCAAGGAGGTGGGTGCAAGGAGGTGGGTGCAAGGAGGTAGGTGCAAGGAGGTGGGTGCAAGGAGGTGGGTGCAAGGAGGTGGGTGCAAGGAGGTGGGTGCAAGGAGGTGGGTGCAAGGAGGTGGGTGCAAGGAGGTGGGTGCAAGGAGGTGGGTGCAAGGAGGTGGGTGCAAGGAGGTAGGAGCAAATGAGCAAACGGAGCGAAGGAGCAAGGATTGAGAGAGGGAAACAAGAACGGGATTGTGACAGGAGGAAAGCACTTGAGAAATGAAGCTGGTAAGTGAACCGGCAAGAGCAGAGGCATGGGAGGGAGAGGCAGTGGCATGAGAGTTAGACGCAATGTGCAATTGTCGAAAGGACCATTTCACAGGCATGGAAGGGAGAGGCATGGAGGTGGGAACGCACCTCCTCCATCCGGCCGTCCAGATGCTTTATGTGCACCTGGACGCATGGGGGGATGGGGGGAGGCATGGGGGGGATGAGGGGAGGCATGGGGGGATGGGGGAGAGGCATAGGGGGAATGAGGGGGAGACATGGTGGGATAGTAATGTGTAGAAGACTAGTATCACCTGCATAATCCTGCATAAACTCATTGTGCAGATCTGTACTGTATACATTAGAAAATTATAGGTTTGTGATATAGTACTATGGCACCTTATAGTCCTGCATGAACTCGTAGTGCAGCACTGTACAGCCATATGAGAATTATATGGATGCGAACTTATTACTGTAGCACACCTTATAGTCCTGCATGAACTCGTAGTGCAGCACTGTCCCAGGGTCGTCACTTGCCGCCTGCAGGAACTTCTCCAGGCCCTTGCGCGGACCGTTGTCCACTGCGGTGGTGTGCGGTGGGGTGGGATGGTGCACGATGGTGTGTGGTGGACAAGCACCAGTGCTTAAGGTTGGTGGTGAGCCAGCATCAGGACTCACGCGAGAGGAGGAAAATCGGCAAGACGGAGAGGATGGGGGAGGAGGGAGGAGGAAAGGGGAGGAAAGGGAAGAAAAGGGGGAGGAAACGGGGAGGGAAAGGGGAAGGGGGAAGGGGTCAAAGAGGAGATACGACTCACCACAGTTGGTGCCGAGAACGTAAAGCTTTTCCAATCCTAAATGCTGCTCCACTGCCCTCAGCGCTGGCAGTGGGGGAGAGGGAGGAATGAGAGAGATGAGGCAAAGGGGGCAGGAAGATAACTTCAGGAAGATAACTTCAGGAAGATAACTTCAGGAAGATAACTTCAGGAAGATAACTTCAGGAAGATAACTTCAGGAAGATAACTGAGGAAACAGAGTTACTGAGGAGTGGTCACGCAGGGACGCACACAGAGGGCTGTGGGCTCGTGTGCGACCAGAGGGCAACGAGCGCCATCTCATGTCACACTGTCACACCGCACTGCACCGCACTGCACTCACCCTGCACCTGACAGCCCACACCACAGAAGAGCAGCCGTTTCACCCCTGCTGCCTGCCGCACAGCCAACGGCATCTCGTGTCACACACTCACACCGAATTGCACCCTACTGTACCGCACTCACCTTGCACCTGACAGCCCACACCACAGAAGAGCAACCGTTTCACCCCTGCTGCCTGCCGCACAGCGAGTGGGGAGGAGGATCAGAGGGAAAGGGAAGGATGGGGTGGGATGAGAGGTAGGGAGGAGCATAGAGAGGAGGGGTGATGAGGGAGGGGAGAGGAGAGCAGCGGCACGACGAGAATTTTCAGCTAGCCTAGAAGGGGCACAGCGAAAGCACTACAGCAAAAGCAGCAGAAAACAATAAGCGCGCACCTCGGCAAGCGCGCGCGGGGGTGTTGAGGTTGGGAGAGAAGGGTGGTTTTCACACCTGCGCAGCACACGTGTGCTACAATCTTTTTCAAACTGCAGTGCATCACAACCAAACACCCTGAGCGCCACGCACCTCCACAAGAGCGAGGGTGTTGAGGTTGGGCGAGAGCGTGGGCTTGACGCCTCTGGCTGCCATCACCTCCTCCTCTGTCCTCGCCAGCACGGGGCGCGGTGCAAAGCGGTCAGACGGATCACTGGGATGGGATGGGAGGAAGGGAGGGAGGCGCAGCTCAGCATCTCCCAACACATGGCAGGCACGACAGCCTTCAGCCTTCACACCCACTCACCCCTGCACGCATATCACCTCTGCACGCATATCACCGCATCCACCTTGCCACTCCTCAGCATCTCCACTGCTAGAGCCGTAACCACCTTGAGCTAGCAACATGCACACCAGCACACACCACTTTCACATGCTCACCTCTGCACGTACCCACCTCCCACCACCACATCCCCATGCTCAAGATACCTCTGCACGCATCCACCTCCCACCACCACATCCACATCCCATGCTCAAGATACCTCTGCACGCATATCACCGCATCCACCTTGCCGCTTCTCAGCATCTCCACCGCTATGGCTGTCACCACGCCCGTCCACTGCGCTCCTGGTCGTGAGAGCCAAGGGCAAGGAGAAAGCAAGGATTGAGCGTGAGTGGGATGGGAAGTAGGGGCACACGAGTGGAAACGAGTGGGAAGTGAGGTGAGAATGAGAGGTAGCTTGGTTTAAGGAGGCGCGAGCTCTCATGGCATGTGCACACATGGCTCTCATGGCATGTGCACACATGGCTCTCATGGCATGTGCACACATGGCTCTCATGGCATGTGCACACATGGCTCTCATGGCATGTGCGCCCACATGGCTCTCATGGCATGTGCGCCCACGTGGCACTGATTCTGAGCAGCGAGGCTAAGGAGGCGCGAGCTCTCATGTGGAGCCACTCACGAGAATTTCGAGTCACCTCAAAACTCACTTTTGATTCTCAGCAGGGAGAATAGCGGATGAGCGCTCATGAGCCACGTGCTGTCTCTGTTGGAGCCACCTGGCCAGGGGGTACCGTGTCTGTTGGATTCACCTGGCACAGGCGACACCGTCTATGTTGGTTTCACCTGGCCGGGGGGGGGGCACCTCTCTGTTGGTTTCACCTGGCAGGGGGGGCGTGCGGCGAGCATAGAGCATCTCCTGATGCACCCCGAAGTGGAACTCGTCCTCATCGCCCTCCCTCCTGCCCCGCCCGTGCACGCGCTCTTCCACGGGCTGTAAGGGGACAGAGAGCACAGTCAACAAAGTCAATGCAGTCAACAGGGGGAGATTGAGGGGGTTTAGGCGAGTCACTGGTCACAGGCGCACCCCAAAATGGAACTCGTCCTCATCGCCCTCCCTCCTCCTGCCCCTCCCGTGCACGCGCGCCTGCATGGACTGCGAGACTGAGTCAACGCAGCCAATGCAGCCCCCATATCAGCATGCAGCACAAAGCACCAAGTATAGAGCACAGTCTCAAAAACACAAAACAGACAGCAGAGCAGCACATGTCACGCAATCAGCGCTCACATATCACACGTCCCATGCAGCACGTACCTCGATCCGGCCCATGCCATCCCCGAGAAAGGCACATGCGTCCTTCACATGCGCGATGTAGTATGTGTCACACAGGCCGCACTGGCTGGGGGAAGGAGAGGGGGGGAGGGGGGACTGGTGGGAATGAGGCTAGCAGGCGATGGGGGAGAGAATACAATGGAAGGCGCATGCGTACATGCGCCATGTAGTACGTGCTGCACAGCCCGCACTGGCTGGGTGGAGGAGAAGGGGGGAAGGGGAGGGAGGAGACTAGTTGGGGAAGGCGAGAGTAACTATGCATCCTTCACATGGGCAATGTAGAATGTGTCACACAGGCCGCACTGGCTGGGGGGAGGAGAGACATGGATGGGCGGGGCAGGTGAAAGGGATGGAATGAGGTGAGAAAGGTGCGCATGAGGTGAGAAAGGTGCGCATGAGGTGAGAACACAATGGGCGGCACATGCGTCCTTGGCATGCGCGATGTAACATGTGCCGCACAGCCTGCACTGGCTGGGGGGTGGAGAGGGGGAAAGTGGGGACATGTGGGAATGAGGTTAGCAAACAATCAAGGAGAACAAAATGGGCGGCACATTCACCCTCCACATGTGCGTTGTAGTATGTGTCGCACAGGCCGCACTGGCTGGCTGGGTGGACGTTGGAGAGGCGATGGGAAGACGGGACGGTAGAGTCAAGGTGAGGGAAGGGAGTGCCAACATGCGTCCTTCACATAGTACGTGTCGCACAGCCCGCACTGGCTGGTGTGCGGGAGTGGGGAAAGGGGGAAAAGGCGGGAATGAGGTGAGAGCACAATAATAGGCACACGGGAGGGGAGATGGAACAGGGGAGATGACAAGGGGCGAAAGGGGGAACGGAGGAGGTAAGAGAGACTCAATGGGAGGCACATGCGTCCTTCACATGCGCGATGTAGTATGTGTCGCACAGACCGCACTGGCTGGGACCGTGCGTGTTTTGATGCACTGGTCTCAATACACTCACCTGCAGTGCTCCTTGGCGGGATAATTCCCGCCTGGCTTAATCGGCCGCGTCTTCGTCCGCCAATCCGCCTCCGCCGTTCCGCCGCTTCCCCCCACCCCCGCCTCCGGCCCTGCGCGCACAGGCACGTGCGCATGGCGCAGGCGTGCGCGGAATGGGGGAGTCGGAAAGCGGAGCGCCGCCCCCGGAACTGGCTGGGATTTAAAGCGCTGGCTGAAATAATGGCGGCGCGGGGGGAGGCGGAAGACGCGCCGGGGGAAGCGGCGCGCGGAGAGAGGCGATCGGGCGCGATGGCGCTCGCCGTCAGGAGCGGTGCTGCTGCCGCCATTCTGAATGTAGGAGACCGAAGCGTCTTCAATGAACACCGCGGAAACACGGCGCTACGGAGATTTATTCTAGCCTCTGGTTACAATTATAGCCTCTGACCATGTAGTCGCAGTGCGTCGCTCCGAGTATCATGCTACCGTTTGGAGCACCCACCCGGTAGACTGCGCGGATCAACTGGTTCCCGCTCTTTTGCTAGTCCCTAGAATGCAGCGGATATCTCGAGGTGGGATGATCGTTTCAGTGAGTGATTCGATAAGAAGAAAACGAAGGACAGACTGAGTTGAGAGTGTAGGGAGCGATCTCGCCAGATTCGCCCATCTTTTCGAGATTCTTGGAAGCCACGAACTGAACTGGTGCCACGTCAACGGTCGGACATTCTGAGTCAGCCTGGGTTCACAGATCAGGTAAGTGTACTGGTAAAAAGCCACATACATTAACAAGCACATACAAACGGAAACATTCTACCATACCCTTTTTACATTCACATTAATCCTACACCGCAAAAGTCCATCCAAATCACAAGAGCACTGCATTCAATGCAACACGCACAGCTGCACAAGCAGTAATTTATTCACACAAATCAGCCAAACCCTAGACGAACTTACACAAACTATCAAAATCCCTAGGTCCAATCCGAAGTCCTCCCAGTCTATGAAACTACATTCCATCCTACATGCAAGCCAAGCCACCCTGAAACGAGTAACGCCTAATATAATAACTACTAGTCTAGCTTCCACCACTGCTGCTTGCTGGCTTCTAGCAGTTTAACACTCCCTCCCTCCTCTCCCCTTCCTTGCCCTCCCCCCTCACTCCCCTCCCCTCCCCTCCCCTGTTCAACCCTGCTGCTGCCACAGCTTGCAAAAACCGTCTCCCCACCTTCCTTCCTCACCACACCTGTTTCTCGTTATTGTCTCAACACACCACTCCCCCCTTTCTTCATCTTCCCAAACAGCAGCTCCGGCAGCTTCGGGCGGCGGTACATCCGCAGCAGAAGAGACGAGCACACCACGCTAACAGACGAAAGCGCCATCATTGCGCCGGCCAGCCAGGGCGGCAGCCGCACCATGAACACCGGATACAGCACTCCGGCCGCCAATGGAATCAGCAAGATATTATACCCCATTGCGAAAACATAATTCCACCTGATCCTCGAAAAAGTCTTCCTCGCGAGATCCAGCGCGGTAATCACATCTTCCAGATTCGACCGCATGAGGACAAAATCTGCTGCCTCAATTGCGACGTCCGTGCCGGCACCAATGGCAATACCCACGTCTGCTGCAGCCAGAGCGGGCGCATCGTTGATCCCGTCCCCCACCATCGCCACCACTGTCTTGCTCTCACTCCCAACCAAACCCATAGTGGCGGTAGCAGAGGCAGTAGCAGCAGCACACGTGGAGCAGCAAGAAGAATCGCACCAGCCAAGGGCATGGCCCAAACGAGACGCCAACCAGCAGCAACAGGAGCGCCAGAAGCAGCAGCTTCTGCTGCTGGTGGAAGGAGCAGGGTCGTCTGGGGGAGGTGCCATCTGCAGCGAGCGGATGGCAGCTGCTTTGTGCGCTGGCAGCACCTCTGCAATCACCTCATGGATGCCCAGCTGGTGAAAAGGTAGGGGCGGGGGGTTGGGGGAGTGGGGGGGAGGAGAGGGTGTTTGGGTTGAGAGGTGCCATCTGCAGCGAGTGGCGGCCGCCTTGTGGGCTGGTAGCACCTCCGCAATCACCTCGTGAATGCCCAGCTGTTGGGTAGGGAGGGGAGGGGAGAAGGGTGGAGGGTGTGCGCGGGGAACGAGTGAGGTTGGTTGGGGAAGGGAAAGCCAGAGGGGAGGATAGGCAGCGCCATCTGAAGCGGACGGCGGTTGCCTTGCGGGCCGGTAGCACCTGCGCTATCACCTCACGGGATGCCCAGCTGGTAAACAAGGAGGGGTGGGGGGGACGTGGGCAACAGCATCGGCAGTGATTGTAATGTGTATTACACATCGACATTACAATCACTGCCAAAGCAACGTACTTACAATGAACATCACGCCAACGCCAGGCACTGTCTCGCCACAGCACGATCAGTGTGGCGGTTGGCTTACCTGTCTAGCAACGGCGTTGGCAGTGCGGCGGCTATCCCCTGTCATCATCACTGCTCGCGCCCCCATGCACGCCCACTGCCTCTTTAACCTCTCTCCAACACATCCTTACATCACCTTCTGCCTCTCGCACCTGTCTAGCAACAGCGTTGCCAGTGCGGTGGTTGTCCCCCCCTGTCATCAACACAGCACACACCCCCATGCGCCTCAGCCCACCGCCTCCCTGCCTTTTTACCTGACCTGTGTTTCCCTCAGCTGCCCACACCTGTGTGCCTGTGTCTTACCTGTCTCGCCACGGCATGGGCAGTGCGGCGGTTATCCCCTGTCATCATCACTGTGCGCACGCCCATGCGCCTCAACCCCTCCACCACCACTGCTGCCTCCCTCCGCACCGGGTCACTGATCACCACACTCCCCACAACCCTCACTCTCCCCTCCCTCGCACTCCCCTCCTCCCCACTCCCCCCCTGCCTGCCGCCCAATGCCACGATGACACCTGTCCGCGCCTCCTCCTCCTGAGCCTGCAACAGAAGATCCACCTGAGCAGGCACCTGAACGCCCAGGTGTTCCATCAGGTGCCGGCTGCCCACCAGAACCACCTGCCCATCCACCCTGCAACGGATCCCCATCCCTGCCAGCACCTCACACTCCGTGGCTTCTTTCATCCAGCTCATATCCTTGGAGGGTTTGAGAGACGAGGCAGCAGAGGGGGAGAGAGAGGAGCAGGTGGAGGAAGGGGAGGAGGAGAACGGAGAGGTTGTTTCGTCCCCGGTGAAACCTTTTCCAGAAAAGACGAAATAGTGCTGCGCATAATCCAAAATCGCCCGCCCGAGCGGGTGCTCGGAGTTTGCCTCTGCTGCCGCTGCTAGGGAGAGCAGTTCGGCTTGAGATATGGTCTCATTGTCACACCCCTCGTTAGTATCACAAAGCTCCTCATTACCAGCACTCCCGGTATTATCACCAACATAAGGCACCACTGCCACCACCCTCGGTTTCCCCATCGTCAGCGTCCCCGTCTTATCAAAAGCAACGCACGTGACTTTATGCGCTGCTTCTAGCGCCTCTCCCCCCTTTATAAGCACGCCCTGTGCCGCCCCCACGCCTGTTGCGACCATGACTGCAGTGGGGGTGGCTAATCCGAGGGCGCAGGGGCACGCTATAACGAGTACGGCTATAGCGAAGAGGAGCGGGAGGGTGAACTGCGAGTCTACACCCGGGGGAAGCATGGCGGATGAAATGCACCCCATGCTCCCTGCCATGAACCAGCAAAACCACGTGCACGCAGACAGCACCACCACCACGGGCACAAACACCGCTGCCACTCGGTCAGCAAACTTCTGAATGGGCGCCTTGCTCAGTTGTGCCGACTCAACAAGCGCCACTATCTGCGCCAGAGCCGTCTCGCTGCCCACCTGTCGGTGCAAGGAAGAAGAGGGAAGAAAGAGCACACACAGTCAAGGGGCAGAGCAGGGGGATGGAGGGAGGAGTAAGAGGGTAGACTTCATAAAGTGCGCCTTGCTGAGCTGCGCTCACTCCACCAGCGCCACTATCTGCGCCAGAGCCGTCTCGCTGCCCACCTGTTATGTACGTAAGCAGAGGGGAACAAGACGCACGCAGGGACACACAGCATGGAGGGGGGAAGGAGGGAAGAGGGAGAGGGCAGATATCTGAACGGGCGCCTTGCTGAGCTGAGCGGATTCAACACGTGACAACGGCTGTCACTGCCTAGCTGTTAACCCTTAGCCACACCACACCACACCACACAACACCACACCACACCACACCACACCACAATACAATACACCACACACACCACGCCACACCACAACACCCACCTGAGTCGCTCGCAGCAGCACGCCAGCCGAGAGGTTGACAGTGCCGCCCAGAAGGCGCGACCCCGGTCCCTTGGCCACTGGTGCTGACTCGCCTGTGAGCATGGCCTCGTTCACATGGGTGGTGCCTGGAGGGGGTGGGGAGGGGGGGGAAGAGAGAGTAGGTGGAGGGGAGGTGGGTGCAACGAGCATCATTCACATGCTGCAACACCCCCTTGGCCACTGGCGCTGACTCGCCTGTGAGCATGGCCTCGTTCACATGGGTGGTGCCTGGGGGGAGGAATAGATTGAATAAGGTGTAGGTGTAAGGGGAGGATCTAAAGTCGAGGGGAAGCGCTGTGCTGCCCTCGAGCTACTGCCACTGACTAGCCCATCACGTCAATCACTGAATCAGCAATCACCTGCCGCAAATCATTCCTATCTTCTCCTCCTCCACTCACCCGTTACAATCACACCGTCTGTTGGCACTCTCGCCCCGGGCAGCACTCGCAGCACGTCTCCTCTCTGCAGCAGCCGTGAGTCAACGTCTCTCTCCGCCACAACCTTGCCGTCTGGACAGGTGGGGATAGAGAGGGAGAAGGGGAGAGACAGGATTGCGGAGTGACAAGAGGAGACGCGAGAGGAAAGGCATCCGCACTCGCAGCTCGTTCTCTCCTCTGCTAAGGCTGCCTTTGCAAACGAAAGGCTTCTGAATCCCTTTCCGCCTGCTTGCCTCAAGTCAAGCCCAGCAGCACATGCACTCATAACCCTGTATGCGAGCACTACATCTAAAGAATTCATTGCCCAGGACTCGGAGCAATAAACTCTAGCCTACCTGCATTCACGTCCACCAGCACGGCCGTCGCGGGCGCCAGCTGCAGCAGCTTCTGAATCGCCTCGGACGTTTTCCCCTTCGCCACCGCTTCTAGATACTTTCCCCCCAGAATAAACACGATCAGCATCACAGACGTTTCAAAGAAATCGTGGCCCAGGTACCGCCCAGAACCGATCTGCACCGCGAGCGTGAGCAGGGAGTAGCCATAGGCCGCGGAGGTCCCGAGGGCGACCAGCACGTCCATATTCGCGCTGCCGTGGCGGAGCGATCTCAGCCCTGCGATGTAGAATCGACGGCCCAGATGGAACTGCACGGGCGTGGCGAGGAGCAGCTTGAGCCATTGGATGAGCGTGACGTGGAGGAAGGGGAGGGAGAGGAGCGGGGAGAGGAGGCGGGAGTGGGAGGCGACGTTGAGGAGGAAGAGGGGGACGGCGAAGAGGAGCGAGAGGGACAACTGGCGCGTGAGGGAGTGGAGTTCGGACGAGCGGTCGGAGCGGTAGGAGCCGAGCATGCTCGGCAGGGCAACGCGTAGCCCATGGGAGTGCGCCTTCTTTCCTCCTCTCCCCTCTGCCCTCCTCTCTTCCCTCCCTTCTCCTCTCCGCTCCTCCCTCCTGTCTTCTCGCCGCGTGCTGACCTTCTCCGCGCCCCCATCGCTCCCCGACCCTCCCCCTCCCCTCTCCTTCCTCGCCGTCCCCGTTCTAAGGGTTCTCGACACTAGCTTCAGGAGTGAATGGGCCCGCTCTGCCCATGGGCCCCTCTTCTTCCCTCGCCCGACTAACTTCTCCCTCTCCTCGTCCTCTTCCCCACTCTCCTCCTTCGCTCCCTCCTCCGCCCCTCCCTCTTCATCTCCCTCTCTCCCTTTCCCTTGCCTCTCCTCACTACCTTCCTCCCCCAACCAATCATCATCTTCCTCCCCTTCCTCCTCCCCACCCAACCCTAACCCTACCAGACTAATCGCCTCTATAGCTCCTACCACGTCTCTAATCCCCGTGATTTCCGGGTCGTACTCTATCTCCACCCATCCGCTCCTAGAATCTACGCTTACCTCCCTAACTCCCGCCACCGATAACACCGCTACTTCCACAGCAGCTGCCACGTCATCTCTGCCGCCCATCCCCGTTACAGTCACGCTCAGCCTGTCGCTCCCGCTGTCCGTGCCGAGAATCGCGGCGTCGAATCCGGCGTCCTCGACCAATCGCAGCGCGTCTCTCACGCCGAGAATCGCGGAGTCGAACGCGATCTCCGCGGTTTCGGTGGCGAGCGCGACGGAGACGCGTCGCACGCCTTTCGCAGATTGGACGGCGGTGGTAACCGCGGTAACACACGCGGCGCAGGTCATGCCGGTTATGCGCACTCGCACTGTCACAACACCCGGCGAATGCGGGCCGGATAACGCTACATCTTGCGACGAGCTTGTTGCTGCTGCCGGTGCTGCTGCTGCTGCTGCTGCTGCCGATAACGGCTGTCCGGATTGCGACGGCTGAGATGGCATATCGAAGGGTTGCGACGACGCGAGTAGAGGATTCGCAACAGAAGGGGTGACCGCACTCGAGACCAGATTCGAGACCGCATTCCCCGGAAGCAGAATCGGATCAGCATGAGCGTTAGACGAAAAAAGGCCGATTTCTGCCGTTAGCTGGGGCCGCGAAGTTTGTGAGGGTCGCGAAAGGGAGATGATTCTAGCGTCGAATCCGGCGTCTTCGACGGCGGTGACTATCTCGTTCTCGTTGACTATAGCGGGGTCGAACGTGATTTGCGCTTGGTTTTGGAGCAAAGCGACTGCGGCGGAAGTCACTCCCGGCAATCTCGAGAGAGCGGTTTCCACAGCGGTCGAACACGCCGAACACGTCATGCCATCGATTCCCACTACCACGCGCGCTGACGTGGCAGGAACGGAAGCTGCTGACGTGGAAGACGCAGATGCTGTCGCCGCAGATGCCGCCGCAGCCGCCGGCGCCGCTGCTGCAGACTCTGCCACGCGGTCAACCAACGAAGCAGAGGTAACGCCAGCTGCAGCGGAAATCGCACGGGCGGACGGTCGTGACAGGGAAATTATTTTCGCGTCAAACCCGGCGTCTTCCACGGCGGTGACTATCTCGTTCTCGTTGACTACAGCGGGTTCGAACGTGATCTGAGCTTGGTTCTGCAGCAGCGCGACGGCCGCTGCCGTGACTCCCGGCAATCTCGAGAGAGCGGTTTCCACGGCGGTAGAACACGCCGAACACGTCATGCCCTCGATTCCCACAACCACGCGCGCTGACTTGGCATTCGCAGCTGCTGAAAACGTGCCACCTGGCGATAAAGTCGCCATTGCTGGTGATTATTGTTGTGCTGTTAGGCTGGACGAGAACGGTATGAGAAGGCGCGTGTTTGTGTTAACCTTGCGTTTAACTCCACACGAAACTATCTATCCTGCTAAAAATTTGCAGCTACTGTGTGCCCGGAAGAAGATTGCGCATAAAGAAGACGAGCTATGGAAAGAACACCAACACGCAGGAGACGGAATTCCATTCCACCGACTCGGGTCCATGCCTGACCCTGCCAGCATTCTGTGTGAGTCCAAGCAAGGCACACGCAATCACAGCAATGTATGCGTTGCTTGCTTTTCTAGACAAGGGTGTCGGTCAAAGCGGGCACTGTACTGTGGTAGGAAAGTGCCATACCTTCATTGACCTGTTACCGTTCTAGCATCTCATCGGCCAGTGCGTTACCCGCTGTACGACACTGTGGCGAGGGATTCGTTCGCTAGTTTGTTACAAAGGGGCGGTGAGGTGAAGCAGTCTGTCTTTGGTGATGGCAGGATGAATGGATGGATGGTTGGGCCGCTCTGCGACGACAGAACCGAGGAATGCGGCAGCCACGGGGAACGAGCGACGGATAGTTCAAGAGTCAAGACCATTTGTGCGACTCTGTGACCACGATTGTGTTTGCTGATTGGTCGAAGGGGAGCGTAATCTCTAACAGATGTGATTATTGCGAAAGATACAGTGCGACGCGAAGTGTCGACTGGGCGACAATGTCGTCGTCGTGAGCCGCACGATTGAGTCGTACTGTAGGGCAACGGTCAGGAAGGTACTGCGGAAACACCTCCCGTCACTGTGTAAGTACCCGTTTCATATTTATTTGATATGAACGTTGGAATGCTGTCGCTATTAGTGTACACGATTACCGAAATGTGTAAAACTAACAGCTACTAACATGCCGCAGCTGACAAACTAACATTCGCACATTTCCCACATTTGTTAGTCATGCCTCTTCGGCAATTTGAACCATAAGTGAATGTAGAGGTGGTGATGAGCTAGCGGAGGCATTTGTGGAAGAATTGCTTCTTCTCGTCAACCTCCACCACCTCTCAAATCATGGCGCACAGGAAGGAAAACGTTGGAAACAACTGATGAGCAAGCAGTCAAAACGCCTAGTTTGGAGGCAAACACAACGAAGAACCAACTTTCATCGGATCAACGCATGGCCTTCCCCCGTTAGCAGAGCGGAAAATGGAGGGACTTCTGTTGTAATAGAGGTAAAACAGGCGCACACACTGGTCAGTGGGTAACACGCGATACGTCCGCCCAGATGCGCAGCGTGGCCCTCCCGAACCTCCAATTGGGCCACTTGGCCCCGCCGGCGGCGGGCTTTCTCGTCGAGGCTGGCCTCGAAGGGGGGATTTTGGCCGCATAGGGAGCTGTTTCGCAGCAGTCACAGTGAATCCACCTGAGACTATGGAGGGTTGGGGATGATTGGAAGAGTGGCGATGGAAGGGGATTGGGCGAAAGAAGGCGGTATAGATGAATTCAAAAGTATTTCAAGTTTTCACGGCGAGAAATTTGCGATAAGGGCCGCGGGATGCAAGAAGGAACGGAACGTTTTGTGCTATTTTAAATCGTCGAAACTCGCCTAGGAAAGGCCGGGATCCGCCAGGCGGAGGCGGAACTTGTTAGCACGCTCGGAGAGGTAAATACCATCGAGTCGACTGTGTGATTGTGGACACACCTTGAAGTAAGATCAGAATTCCAACCAGCGCCACGAGGAGCGCTCGTAACGAAGTAGTCATGCCCTCTGACCTATGGCTCCAAGCTAGCTAACCTGATATGAACGAACGCGTGATCAGAGACCTGCTTGAGGTAAACGATCGTCTGTTTGCGAGATTCGAAACCTGGGCTCCTTCGCGAACAGATTAGCACAGACGCCATATTTCAGCTAGCGCGTTGGGAGAGAGGAGCTGAAGGCAGATGCGTCCAAGGAACGTAAGTTGACTGCAACAGATGAAAGAACTTCATCGGATGAAAGGACAATTATTATCGGGAACGCGTTTAGATGGAACTGGGAATGCTGCAGCTGCGGGGCAGAGTCAGATTTGTGGAAAACAGGTAGCAAGTTGAAGTTGTGCGACGCGTAGCACGGAGATAAACCCAATGAGGTACTGCTATAGTGCGCACTACATATACATCTTGAAGAAATGTATCCTCTCAAATATGGCATGTGATCAGATTGTTGCGAACGTGACCAGACATGTGAGCTAGTAATGACTGCTCTAGCCGGATTCACAAACGCATCTGCATTGATGAAGTATATTCACAACGCAGTGCTAGCAAGATAAGATGACAGCATGCAAAACTCATGCACTCTGTAATATGCAATCCCACACCAAGAAGCAGGGAGAAACACGTCTATTATTGAACAGCCTGCTGCCAAAGCAGTTTATTGGGCAAGGCTCTTCTGGTGTTGCTATCGTCAGTTTTATTTTGGCAAGCACAAGGTGGAGCCAACCTTAAGGGGCTCAACGCACTTGTAACCGTTTAACTGCTCAAACAGTTGAGCCTGCTTCTTGTACAAATTCAAAATCAAGTCGGAGCACGTGTCTGTGATTCGCACCGCCCTCAACTCTCCTGAACAAGCGGCCATAGTCGGAAGAGCTGGAAGAAGGGAGACGGAGGGCACGCATAAAAAAAGCAGAGCGGAGACAAGAAAAGGAATTACTGAAGTGTGACACGAGAACAAACTTTTACAATGACTCGGCAGGGGGCAGTGCGATGTCGGCAGTTCGCCTACATAATGGTTGAATTAGTATTGGCGGTTCATCTAATCCACGACTCAATGAGCAAGATTACTCACCAGCAGAGACGAGGAGGACGGCTACAATCGCTACGATCAGGAGCTGCACGGAAGTCCTCATTGTGTCAATTAATATGGACCTGTTGAAGTATGAACTTGTTGAACTCGGTACGTCAGCGAAGTAGGAGAGGCACAATACGTTGACTACGGCTAAGAGAGGACGACGCTGCAAGTGATAATGTAAGGAAAGCTCGGAAACATATAAATACCGGTCTCAATGATTCCGGTTTTAACCTCTGCCTGAGCAAATCAATGGCCAAACACGATGACCGCGCCCTGTTGCAGGGCTTTCTCGAAGCGCGATGTGAAGCCATCTCTGCCGAAATAATGTTCGGGATGGTACCATGCAACACTGCTTGGGGATGTGCCATAGGCGTCCTGAAGCGACTCGGCCGCTGGAGGTACATTTGCCGCAGGAGGTACGCCTGACGGTGCTTTGATTGAGCCGCGTTTTGGACCTGAGTGTGGGTTTGACAGTTGTGGCACAAGGATAGCAAGAGAAGAACCTGTGGGAATTGAGGTGGGATGGTGGTGGAAATGGTTCCACCTGCGAGCGCGGGGTTTGTCGGGATGTATGTACAGTGAAACAAGATGAGTTGTAACAAGATATAGCATATGTCACTAAACAGGCATTGGCAAATTTGCTGGTGAATGTTTACCGTATGCCAAGCAGTTCATGATTTTAAATCATGTCTGTACAGTTGCATGTACGGTAATCCTTCAGATCCATGTTCATCTTTTTCTTGGCTAGTTTTTGAGAAATTGATTCTCTCAACTTTTGTGGTACGGTATTGAGACTCAGCTTGTAGCGATGGACTGAATGCTCAGACGGGCTTAGAAACAGCAGCTGAGGCAAGGGTGGAATAACTAGTGATGGAAAGAGCGGGTGGGAGAGGGAGGGGTTGAAGGTAGTTCGTGAGGAATGGGAGGGAGGGGTTCAAGGTGGAGGGGGGGGGGTACGAGAGAGGGAGATTATGATAAAGGGAGGGGCGAGTGAGGGGAAGAGGAAGAGGGGAGTGAGGGAAAGAGGAAGAGGGGAGTGAGGGAAGGAGGAAGAGGTGAGTGAGGGAAGGAGGAAGAGGTGAGTGAGGGAAAGAGGAAGAGGTGAGTGAGGGAAAGAGGAAGAGGTGAGTGAGGGAAAGAGGAAGAGGTGAGTGAGGGAAAGAGGAAGAGGTGAGTGAGGGAAAGAGGAAGAGGTGAGTGATGGAAAGAGGAAGAGGTGAGTGAGGGAAAGAGGAAGAGGTGAGTGAGGAGGGGGAAAGAGAGGAGGGAGAGGAGGGGGAGAAGGGGGAGACAGCGGAGGAAGAACAAGCAGAGGAAATGGAGGGCGGGGGAGATGCTGATAACAAAGAGGACAAGGAGAAGGATGAAATGGACGATAAGGGTGACGACAGATGAGAAGGAGGAAGTGGACGAGGAGGGCGAAGAAGAACAGGAGCATGAAGCAGGAAGAGCAGGGCTCAGAGCAAGACACGAACGCAGGAGGAGGAAACGAAGGGCGCAGGAGAATGGGACAAGGTTGCGGCAGGAAAAGCAGGATTGGCGGGATTGGCAGGAAGGCGGAGATGATCGTCGAGAAGGCTTGGAAGATGAAGAAAAGCACGTAGGGGAGTAAGGAGAAGGGAGGAGACAAGGAGGGGAAGGCAGAGAATAAGGAGACGGAGAAGACGGTGGAGTAGGCAGGGAAGGCGGCGAGGAAGGTGCAGAGGCTGTGTAAAGGAATTATCCGTAGATTATACACAGGCAGTACATGTCTCACTTTAAGGCCCAGCTGCCGAAGGCAGTTATTGAGCAAGGATCTTCCGGCAGTTATTGTATATACCCAGACCTATTTCGGCAAACAGAGGACGGAGCCGACCTTAAGGGGCTCAGTACATTTGTAGCCGTTGTACTTCTGGAACACCTGAGCCTGTTTCTTGTAATACGTCATGATTAAGCCCACGCATGTGTCCGTCTTTACCACCTTCCTCAACTTCCCTGAACAACGAGCCATACTCGGAAGAGCTGGAAGAAAAAAAAGCAAGAAGAAAAAGAGGGCGAGTGTAAGGAGCAGAACGAGGACAGAGGAGCAACTTAAGGCAATAACGTCCGGAAGCGTAAAGAGAAGTCAAACAGACAGAAATTTTACGACGACAGGTCAGAACAGAAGCCAGCGTGAGAAACGTCGGTTTATCTGGTCTAAGCACGTGAACTCACCAGCAGAGACGAGGAGGACGGCTAGAATCGCCACAACCAAGAGCTTGATGGAAGTCTTCATAGTGTCGATTAGTTTGAACTTGTCGCCGAAGGTACGTCAGTGAGAAAAGAGAGGCACAATTCTCTGGGCGCCGAGAGAGAACGTTGCAGCACACAATGAGCAAGTTCGATGAGATTGGACAACTCAATGTCCGCTTTTGAGTCCCTCTAAATGGGCTAATCGATCGCCCATAGCGGTGACCGCCACGCGGTTGCATATGGATCAGAGTTGCCGTTCTCGAAGCGTGCTGATAAGCCATCGGTGGAGAAACCCCTCAACGCCATTGGCAAGGGTGGTGCCAGGCAGCCCTAGCTTGGAGATGCGCCATGAACATGTGTTGTCAACTGGGTCGCAAGAGATTCATCCGACGGCGACTTGAACCCGAGCGTGGGTTCCAGGTGGTGCCATGAGAATCCATGAGAACGACCTAGTGGGTTGAACGAGAAGTAACAAAACGAGACTTGCGAGTGGAATCATCCACTGGGTGGGAAGATCGGTGTAAGTGGGTTTAAGAGGAGAGATTACCTTTGAACTCGGTTCGAGTAGGTTAGCTAGTGGTGGCACAAGCAGGAAACAAAACTAGCCATTGGGATCACCAGTGGGATCAACCAATGGGATGGGGAGACTGGTTGAAGTGAGGATTTCTGGTGATGGAAAGTTGGCGTTAGAGCGCGGTACATTTGGGTTCAGATAGTCTTTTGAACGCGCTGTCCAAGAAATCACGAGTGTTTCTCGTAAAAGTAATTTTATTAACGGTTATGCAAGATGCAATGCGGTATGTACATAACTCAACAGCGCTTGATATGAGATGTTTATGTTCCTTTCCCTCAAATCTCCCATCCACCCATCACACGTAGTCTGGGAGTCTCGAAGGTGGTTTTCCCATTCCATGCGGACTCTGCATACCAGACTTTTTTGCCTTCTCCTAAGGCTGAAATGTATTTAGACTCTGATCGCATTGATAGCGGCGACCAACCCTGAACACGCGCCAAGTTTAGGATTTCTCTGCTGTACTCCCGCTGTCGCCCCGCGATACTCGCGACGTGGTTTTTTGCCGAATTTGCGGCGACCATGTGCACAGCATCACACACGCCTCGTCGATGTTATGCCCATCGCTGCCGCTTCCGTGCTATCATCCCTCCCGATCAGGGGTTAAGGTAGCCGAGGTTTAGTCGGAACCGGTCCTCGTAAACGATTACGGCAGTGCGAGCCAATTCAGCTATCGCGAGCGACTTAGACTTACAGTGAGGAATCAAATGCCCGAAATGGAGCAAATGGAGCCTGGCAGCAGTGGAATGGTGAAGAGAAGGAAGAAGTAGGCGGAATTGAGGGGTTGTATGTAGCCCTGCTTCCCCCCTGCCCCTCACGCCCATTTCCCCCTTTGCTCCTCCTCCCCCCCTGCCCCTCGCGTCCATTTTCCCCCCTTGCCTCCTTCAACCCCTACCCCCCACACGCATCTCAGGAGTGGTTGGGGATCTGATGGCCCGCCAAGCAGGCGTGCGATCGTGATGATGCACCATCCTTTTCCCCCCATCCCACTCCTCCCTTCTGAACCAACACAACATGACTACCAAAAGCCATCTTTTTCCGCATCCCTCACCCACTTCTCCATCCCCCCCACTCCCATACTACCTTATTCTCTTCCTCATATTTTGAGTGCCTCATGTTGGGCGGTGTGAACCTCATGTTGGATGCACTTTAAGCTACTTGATTATGGGTGTGATGATCATTGTGATATTTTGGTTGGTACCATCGAAACGCGCATTTGGAGAAAGGCATGCTGTTCCTGTTGCTCATTCCAACATCATGGTACAACTCTAAAGCAGGGGGAACACCGTCTCTCATGGAGGACCCGTCTGCAAAGGCAAGGCCTGTGTGACATGATGTTATCCACCTGAATTTACGGCACACAGATGGTGGTGGACTTCGGGCGGCCCACACACTTGTAGCCGTTGTACTGCTGGAACTGCAAAGCGCTCTTATTATAGTACTTCGCTATTACAGTACTACAGGTTGCCGACCCCACCTTCGTCGCCTTTCCCTTTAGACAACGAGCCGCGGCCATACTTGGAAGACCTGGAGGGGAAAACGGAGGGAGAGTATAAGTAGCGAATAGAAACTGCAGAGCAATCCAAAAACAGCCACGCCACTGAAAGGTTACCCGAGAAGAGATGAACCAGACATTCGCACAACCCGTGGCACGGGTTCGTCGGTTTGTTTAGTAGAAGAAATTAGCGCGCGTGAACTCACCAGCAGAGACGAGGAGGACGGCGAGAATCGCTGCGATCAAAAGCTTCATGTAAGTCCTCATTATGTCAATTAATCTGAACTTGGTGACGGTACGTCAGCGGCAGATGAAATGGCTGGTATGGCCGAGAAGGCGATGCAGCATGTAATAAACCAGGCGAGCTCCAGCTTCTGACTGATACTAGTGTCCAGTAGGGCGCCCCTTTTATCCATCTCCCCGTGTCAGGAAGTTTCTCACGCGCCAGTCATTGCCCTTCCGACTCAGCTTGGGAGGCACCTACCTACCAGGCGTTCCAAAGTCAGCACGGCAATACCCATCAATGTGGAATTTAGGGCCTGTAGCGCCAAAGTCACAGTCAGCTGGTCCCCGCCCCGCCATCGCCTCAAGTAAAAAAATTAGGCAACTTATGACTGATTCTGACCATTACGGCTCAGCCTGAGAGCTAATCAGAAGCTGTGTCAGCAAGGTTTGTAGTCATTGCCCTGCTGAGTCAGCTTCATTTTGAGGCATCTACACGTACCTCCCAAACACGTGTGGTGATGGCGTCCTGGCGTTACTACACTCATCAATCATGCCGGGGTCAGAGACCGCATAAACGTGTTACGAACTTACGAAACTCTCGCGCAACTCGATGAATTAGCCCTTTGAAATCGGGCTGAGGCTCGTCTGGAGGGATCCATTTTGACACGCTGAGTGAATTTGATGCGTAAAAACGTTTCAGATTTCAGCCTCGTATGCGGCTACTGACACGAGGTGCACCAGAGGCGGCGAAATCTTGCTACTGGACTGTAATCCGACTGGAGTTTGAGCACCAAAAGGCACATGCTTCAACGCAGGATGAAATTCGTTTCAAATGTGAAACTGTTTTTGCACAGTACCAGGAAACTTTCAAATACTCCATCTGGAACATTCTTCGACTCTTTTCGACTCACTCAACCCGAAACCCTGAATATGGTCGGGAAGGGAATGAGGATTCTAGAGGCGGTCTTTCCACACTCCCCGCAAAGCCCTTATCAACCACCTTCCTGATCCTGAAAGCTCAGATGGCTTTGCCTTTCTGTCGGGCTTGACAACGCAGAATTTCTCAGACGCTGATCGCGTTGTTCACGGTGATCAGTATTGAGCACGCGCCGAAATTAGGGTCCCTCTGCTTTGCTCCCACTGTCCCCTCGCGTCCCTCGCTGCGTGATTTTTCCAAATTGCGAGCGACGTCCGCTAGCACAGCACCACGCGTCGTCGACATTTGAATCAATCTCGGTCGACGTCCTTGCAATCGTTCTTCTCGTTCCCAATTATAACCGTCCTTGCAAGAACGAGAGGGAGCCGTCATTGCAATTGTTCCTCTCGTTCCCGAGTGAGAGCAAGCCGTCCTTGCTATTGAAACGCAATACGGAGCTGCTTCTTGTGAACGGTTACGGTAGTCTGACTAGGACTTTTCGAGAGGGTTTAAATGCCCGGAAAAGGCCGAGATAACAGCGGCGGCGGTGCGATGGTGAAGGGAGGGAAGAAGAAGGAAACGAAGGGGTTGAAAGTAGCGCGAGAGGCACGGGAGGAGATTAAGGTGGAGGGGAAGGAAGAGGAGAGAGAAGAGGATATTTTGGAGATGGAGGAGGAAGAGGGGAGTGAGGTGGAAGAGGAAGAGGGAAGTGAGGAGGAGGGAGAGGGAGAGGAGGGAGAGGAGGAGGAGGAAGAGGAGGAGGAAGGACAAGCGGAGGAAATGGAGGGAGGGGAGGATGATGATGATGAGGAGGACGACGGCGAGGAGGAGGAGGAAGAGGAGGAGGAGGAGGAGGAGGAGGAGGAGGAGGAGGAGGAGGAGGAGGAGGAGGAGGAGGAGGAGGAGGAGGAGGAGAGGAGGAGGAGGAGGAGGAGGAGGAGGAGGAGGAGGAGGAGGAGGAGGAGAGGAGGAGGAGGAGGAGGAGGAGGGAGGAGGAGGAGGAGGAGGAGGAGGAGGAGGAGGAGGAGGAGGAAGAGGAAGAGGAAGAGGAAGAGGAAGAGGAGGAGGAGGAGGAGGAAGAGGAGGATCAGGGTACAGAGAGCAAGAAGCGGAAGCGGAAGGAGGGAGCCACGGCCGCGGGAGACGCGGAGAAAGCGGCGGATGGATCGGCGGGATTTGCGGGGAAGAAGGTCGCGGTGGGGGCGACCAAAGCGGACATGGTCGCCGAGGAAGCTTCCGCGAAGGACACGCCGGGGAAGGTGAAGAAAAGCAAGGGGGGAAAAAAGGAGAAGGGGGAAGATGCGGCGGAGGAAGCGGAAACGGGGGATAAGAAGGAGAAGGCGGGGAAGACGGCGGATAAGACGGCGGGGAAGGCGGCGAAGGAAGCGGGGAGCAACATTATGAGCGCGGTGGCGTTCGATACGCTGCACATCTGCGACGGCACGCGCAAGGGGATCGAAGAGATGGGCTTCACGCACATGACGGAGGTACGAGAAACCCCAGGGTTTTAGAATGGATGGGCTTTAAGCATATGGCGGATGAATGCTGCTTCCGCGGTGGCGTTCGATACGCTGCACATCTGCGACGGCATTCGCAGCGCAAGGGCATTGAGGAGATGGGCTTCACGCACATGACGGAGGTAAGCGCCTCTAAACCCTGGGGTTCAAGACCCCATGTGGGCTGTAAGCACATGACGGAGGTAAACCCCTAGAACCTAGGCCTGGTATTGAATGCTCACGTGGGGAGCAACATTATGAGCGCAGTGGCATTAGATGCGCTTCACATGTGCGGCGGCACGCGCAAGGGGATCGAGGAGATGGGCTTCACGCACATGACTGAGGTAGGGGTTTCTAAATCCCGATGCGGGCTTTAAGCAGGTGTCGGAGGAAGCGAAGCGCCAGGGTTAAAGAATAGACGCGCTTTAAGCACTTTGCGCAAGGTGCTAGGGGCTTGACAACGGAGTTGGGAGGTTGGTTCACACGGGGTCTATACAGGTGTCAGGGTTTTAGGGGCATTGATAGAATGGAAGTAGGGAAGTTGTTTTTCTCTGAAGTGGCTTCTGGAAAACCTCTTAGCTGAGAAAGGGAAAGGGAAGTCTCTTATTGGTCAACCTGCTTCATTCCAAGGAGGTTAATACAAAGGAAGGTAAGGGTTGTTTTCCTTCAACCCTTTCGTTCCAAGCTGGGGGTAATTTCGTCGTCTCGTCGCTAACCTTTTCCCCTCCTCCCTTTTATGTTTCTGTTCATCATTTTTGTTTATCTCCCACAGGTCCAGGCTCGGACCATACCGCACCTGCTGGCTGGGAAGGACGTGCTAGGTGCGGCGCGCACAGGCTCGGGGAAGACCCTGGCGTTCCTCATCCCCGCTATAGAGCTGCTGTTCCGTGGCAACTTCATGCCGCGCAACGGCACGGGCGTGATTATCATCTCTCCCACTCGAGAGCTCGCCATGCAGGTGTGTCGTGAAGGAGGGATGATGGGGTTTACAGGTTTGGGGATGAGGGTTGGGCGGGGGGGTTGATCATCTTCCCTTCACTTCACTCCCAGCCCAGGAATGGCACGGGCACTCACCTTTCCAACTTCCCACTCCCCAGCACTCCCCTCTCCACTCCCACCTACTTTTTTCCTTATTCCCTCTCCACTCCCACCTACTTGTTTCCTTATTCCATCTCCACTCCCACCTACTTTTTTCCTTATTCCCTTCCTCAGATCTTCGGAGTGGCCCGCGATTTGATGGCCCACCACAAGCAGACTTTTGGCATCGTGATGGGCGGCGCGAACCGCAAGGCGGAGGCGGAGAAGCTTATAAAGGGGACGAACCTTCTGGTGGCGACGCCTGGGCGGCTGCTGGACCACCTGCAGAACACCAAGGGGTTTGTTTTCCGGAACCTCAAGTGCGTGGTGATCGACGAAGCAGACCGGATTCTCGAAGTGGGGTTTGAGGAGGAGATGCGGCAGATCCTGAATCTTCTGCCCAAGGTACGGCATGCAAAAACTTTCCTGCTGTGCAGTGCCGTGCAGTGCTGTGCGGTGCAGTGCGGTGCAGAACACCAAGGGGTTTGTGTTCCGCAACCTCAAGTGCCTCGTGTTTGACGAGGCCGATCGCATCCTGGAAGTGGGGTTTGAGGAGGAGATGCGGCAGATCCTCAACCTGCAGCCCAAGGTGAGCGTGTGTGTGATGATCCCAAGGTGAGCGTGTGTGTGTGATGATCCCAAGGTGAGCGTGTGTCAAGGTTAAAAAATACGGTAAATGTAAATTACGGCTCGTAAATTACGGTCGTAATTTACGGTGGTTTTGGCAAAAATACGGTCGTTTTTTAAATGGACTTTTCTTGCGGCATTTTTTTTCTTCCAGAAACTTCAAGAATTCTTACAACGATGACTAGGAAGGCGACAACAAACTATACTACAGAGAAACAAGCCTATAATGGACCACTACACCACTACCATTGCTAAGCCTACCTAGTAGTACCTACCTTCAGGCTAAATCTGCTCCTACTCCCTCCCCACACTACGCGGGAGAAAAACACACTCGCATGGATTTGGGCGCACGAAACTTCTCACAAGCAGGGTGATGGTTGGGAAATGTCGAAATTCGCTAGACACAAACTCGGTTTCAAAATTTCGGTTGTAATTTACGACCGTATTTTTAAACCAACCTAATTTTGCAAGGTCGAACCGTTTTTTACCGTAATTTACGGTAAAAATTCAAAAATACGGTCGTATTTTTGAACCTTGGCGTGTGTGTGATGATCCCAAGGTGAGCGTGTGTGTGATGATCCCAAGGTGAGCGTGTGTGTGTGATGATCCCAAGGTGAGCGTGTGTGTGATGATCCCAAGGTGAGCGTGTGTGTGATGATCCCAAGGTGAGCGTGTGTGTGATGATCCCAAGGTGAGCGTGTGTGTGATGATCCCAAGGTGAGCGTGTGTGTGATGGTCCCAAGGTGAGCGTGTGTGTGATGGTCCCAAGGTGAGCGTGTGTGTGATGATCCCAAGGTGAGCGTGTGTGTGATGATCCCAAGGTGAGCGTGTGTGTGTGATGATCCCAAGGTGAGCGTGTGTGTGATGATCCCAAGGTGAGCGTGTGTGTGTGATGATCCCAAGGTGAGCGTGTGTGTGATGATCCCAAGGTGAGCGTGTGTGTGATGATCCCAAGGTGAGCGTGTGTGTGATGATCCCAAGGTGGCTGCTGGATTGCCTGCAGAACACCAAGGGGTTTGTGAACCGCAACCTCAAGTGCGTGGTGACCGACGAAGCCGATCGGATTTTTGAAGTGGGGTTTGAAGAGGAGATGCGGCAGATCCTCAACCTGCTGCCCAAGGGACTGCCAAACGGTGCTATTCTCGGCCACGCAAACCGCCAAGGTGGAGGATTGGGCTGGTGTGAGTGAGCTTCATGCATTCTTCCTCCTCCCTGTCCTCCCATCTCATGCGCCTGCTGTTAACAGGACCGCCAAACAATGCTGTTCTCAGCGAGTCAGACCACCAAGGTGGAGGACCTGGCACGAGTGAGCTTCAGCCTCCCATGCTCCCTCCATTCTTCCAACCCCTTCTTTCCACACGTTGCTCCCCCTTTTTTTATAACAGGACCGCCAAACCATGCTGTTTTCGGCCACCCAAACCACCAAGGTGGAGGACCTGGCACGAGTGAGCTTCAGGCTCCCTCCCCTATGTGCTGCCTCTCCTTCATGCGTCTCTCCTTGCTGCCTGTTCCCCCACCTCCATGCGCTCACATGTAACAGGACCGCCAAACCATGTTATTCTCGGCCACCCAAACTACCAAGGTGGAGGATCTGGCGCGAGTGAGCTTCAGCCGCACTCCCGTCTACATCGGCGTCGACGACGGGCGGCACAAGGTACTGTAGCTTTGGACAACGGGCGGCACAAGGTACTGTAGCTTTGGACAGCAGGCGGCACAAGGTAGTGAGCTTTGACGATGGGTGGCATGCGGTACTGTAGCAATGAATGGCGGCGGCACAAGGTACTGTAGCTTTGGACAGCGGGTGGCACATGGTGTTGTTGTTGCGTGTCATTGTACGTGCTGTTACAACACACTGACACTTTGAAAGGTATATGGAACGACTGGCACAGGGCACTGTGTGTGTGTGTGTGTGTGTGTGTGTGTGTGTGTGTGTGTGTGTGTGTGTGTGTGTGTGTGTGTGTGTGTGTGTGTGTGTGTGTGTGTGTGTGCGCGCGTGCGCGTGCGCGTGCGTGTGCGTGTGAGTGCGTGCGTGCGTGCGTGCGTGCGTGTGTGTGTGGGTGTGTGTGTGTGTGTGTGTGTGTGTGTGTGTGTGTGTGTTGTGTGTGTGTGTGTCTGTGTGTGTGTGTGTGTGTGTGTGTGTGTGTCGTAAGGTGAGGAGCGCGTTGGTGTTATGGCAATGCACAAATCATCACTCCTGGTGCTGTGTGTTGTGTTGTTTGCATCATCCCACAGGCCACGGCGGAGGGTTTGGAGCTGGGCTACTGCATGGTGCCCAGTGAAGAGCGCTTTCGTGTGGTGGCAGGCACTCGGATGATGTCTGCTGTTGTGTTGGCATGTTAAATATTGTGTGCTGCTTTCTGTTTGCATCATCCCACAGGCCACAGTCGAGGGGCTGGAGCAGGGCTACTGCGTGGTGCCCAGTGGGGAGCGCTTCAATGTGGTGACGCTCCGTTCATCACGCTGATGCTTGTGCTTGTGCTTGTGCCTTTCCGTTCCTGTACAGGCCACGGTGGAGGGTTTGGAGCAGGGCGGGAGAAGAGCGTGGTCAGGGTGATGGCACACTTGCGAGTTTTTGAATATTGTGTGCCTCTTGCTGCTTGCTTCTCTCTTCCCACACACACCACGGTGGAGGGGTTGGAGCAGGGCTACTGCGTGGTGCCCAGTGGGGAGCAGCGCGCTATTGTGGTGGCTCATAGGCGATGTGCTTATGTGTGCTTGTGCTGTGCTTTCTCATGCACTTGGTCGGTTTGTGTACAGGCCACGGTGGAGGGGTTGGAGCAGGGCTACTGCGTGGTGCCCAGTAAGGACCGCTTTCTGCTTCTTTTCACCTTCCTCAAGAAGAACCTCAAGAAGAAGGTGAGGGGGGGAGAGGGTGAAGGGAAGGAAGGGGGAAATGGGAAGTAGCTGTTTGTTGGTTTGTGGTGACGTTGCCCAGTGAGGGAGGTGTGCTTCTGCTTCTCTTCACCTTCCTCAAGAAGAACCTCAAGAAGAAGGTGAGGGGGGGAGAGGGTGAAAGGGAGGGCAGGGGGGAAATGGGAAGTGGTTGGTGGTGAGGGGGAGGAGGGGGTGAAGGGAAGGAAGGGGGAAGAGGGGAGCGGCTGTAGACTGTACTGCCACTCTCCCTGCTCTTCACGTTTCACTACAAGTTTGAGTTTCCCTAAACCAATCGCTTCTGCTTCTTCTCGTGCGCTGCAGTCAAGTTCTACTCGGAAATGCTCAACTCAACTGATTGACATCCCCGTGCTGGACATTCACCTGCCTTATCATCCGCCTCCCCCCTCGCCTCCACGTGATGGTGTTTGTCTCCTCGTGCGCTGCAGTCAGGTTCTATTCTGGGCTCCTCAAACTACATCGACATACCCGTGCTGGACATTCACGGGCAGCAGAAGCAGCAGAAGCAGCAGAAGCGGCAGAAAGCAGCAGAAGCAGCAGAAGCGGCAGAAGCAGCAGAAGCAGCAGAAGCAGCAGAAGCAGCAGAAGCAGCAGAAGCAGCAGAAGCAGCAGAAGCAGCAGAAGCAGCAGAAGCAGCAGAGGCGCATGGGCACATGATTCTAGCTCCGCTTAACCCAGAGCCTCTCTTCTTCCTCCCCCTTTCCCTTCCCCCAGGTCATGGTATTCTTCTCCTCTTGCGCTGCTGTGAAGTTCTCACTCTGAGCTTCTAAACTACATCGACATCTCGGTGCTGGACATTCACCTTGCCCTCTCTCTTTCGTATCACCCCCCACCTTCCCCCTACCCCAGGTCATGGTGTTCTTTTCCTCCTGTGCTGCAGTCAAGTTCTACTCCGAGCTTTTAAACTACATTGACATACCCGTGCTGGACATTCACGGCAAGCAGAAGCAGCAGAAGCGCACGACCACCTACTTTGAGTTTGTGAACGCCGACAAGGGCATTCTCCTGTGCACGGATGTTGCGGCAAGGGGGTTGGATATCCCTGCTGTGGATTGGATTATCCAGTACGACCCGCCTGATGATCCCAAGGTGAGTACCCGACAATCCCAAGGTGAGTACCCGACAATCCCAAGGTGAGTACCCGACAATCCCAAGGTGAGTACCCGACAATCCCAAGGTGAGTACCCGACAATCCCAAGGTGAGTACCCGACAATCCCAAGGTCAGAAAGCAAGTAGCAGCAGGACACGGACGTGGCTGCTACAGGGCTGGATATCCCGGCAGTGGATTGGATCATCCAGTACGACCCGCCTGATGATCCCAAGGTGAGGGTTGTGACAATCCCGGTTGTGAGGGTGAGGGATGCTTGTGCACAGGAGGTTACGACCCTCCTGTGCACGGATGTTACCGCGAGAGGGCTGGATATCCCGGCAGTGGATTGGATCATCCAGTACGACCCGCCCGATGATCCCAAGGTGCGCAAGAAAGCAAGTAGCAAGCAGCAGCAGCAGAAGTGCACGAGCTCGTTCGTTGAGTTTGTGAATAGGTGGACTTTTGAGTCGACTCAAAAGTCACCTCGTTGAGTTTGTGAATGCTGTCACGGGCATTCTTCACTGCACGGACTTTTGAGGCGCGTCAAAAGTCTTCACTGCACGGACGTGGCTGCGACGCAGTCACCCTGCTCTTTCTCATTTCAGAGGAGCTTCAGTTTCTGGTGTACCTGCGGGCAGCTAAGGTGCCATTGTTGAATTTTCTTGTGTACCGTGCCTTGCTGTTGATCTCCCTCTCTCTCGTGCTCTTTCAGGAGTACATTCACAGGGTGGGCAGAACAGCAAGAGGAGAAGGAGGCAGTGGCCGCGCCCTGCTGTTCCTTATTCCAGAGGAGCTCCCGTTTCTGGCTTACCTGCGGGCAGCCAAGGTGCCTCTGAACGAGTACGAGTTTCCCAGCCACAAGATCGCCAAAGTGCAGCCGCAGCTGGTGGGTTGACGGTTGAGTGGTGAGGAGGTATTGGAAGGGTCAATGGTCACGTAGTTTCCAAGGTGCCTCTGAACGAGTACAAGTTCCCGAGCCACAAGATCGCTAAAGTGCAGCCGCAGCTGGTGAGTTGAGTTGAGGGGAGGGAGCGGCATGTGGTGTGTAGAAGCTGTGAAGGGAAAGTGAATGCATGGGAGGTGGGAAGGGAATGGCTGGAGGCATGGAGATCCCAAGGTGCCTCTGAACGAGTACAAGTTTCCCAGCAAATAGATCGCTAAAGTGCAACCGCAACTGGTGAGTTGGGTTGAGGGTTGGAGCAAGTGGTGAGCTGAGTATGAATAATTCTCCATACCACTGCCCTTCTGCACCTTGTAGTGCCCTTCTGCACCTTGTAGTGCCCTTCTGCACCTTGTAGTGCCCTTCTGCACCTTGTAGCGCCCTTCTGCACCTTGTAGTGCCCTTCTGCACCTTGTAGCGCCCTTCTGCACCTTGTAGTGCCCTTCTGCACCTTGTAGCGCCCTTCTGCACCTTGTAGTGCCCTTCTGCACCTTGTAGTGCCCTTCTGCACCTTGTAGCGCCCTTCTGCACCTTGTAGTGCCCTTCTGCACCTTGTAGCGCCCTTCTGCACCTTGTAGCGCCCTTCTGCACCTTGTAGTGCCCTTCTGCACCTTGTAGTGCCCTTCTGCACCTTGTAGCGCCCTTCTGCACCTTGTAGTGCCCTTCTGCACCTTGTAGTGCCCTTCTGCACCTTGTAATGCCCTTCTGCACCTTGTAGCGCCCTTCTGCACCTTGTAGCGCCCTTCTGCACCTTGTAGTGCCCTTCTGCACCTTGTAGTGCCCTTCTGCACCTTGGAGCGCCCTTCTGCACCTTGTAGTGCCCTTCTGCACCTTGTAGCGCCCTTCTGCACCTTGTAGTGCCCTTCTGCACCTTGTAGTGCCCTTCTGCACCTTGTAGCGCCCTTCTGCACCTTGTAGTGCCCTTCTGCACCTTGTAGCGCCCTTCTGCACCTTGTAGTGCCCTTCTGCACCTTGTAGTGCCCTTCTGCACCTTGTAATGCCCTTCTGCACCTTGTAGCGCCCTTCTGCACCTTGTAGTGCCCTTCTCTCCCACCCCCACTACCTGGCTTTGTGCTCACCCCATCCCACTGCCCCTACGCTGTTTGTCATCTCCCTCCCTCTCACCTCACCCCCGTCCTCCCCACCAGGAGCGGCTGATAGCAAAGAACTACTACTTGCATCAGAGCGCCAAGGATGCTTACCGGGCCTACCTGCTGGCGTACGGCTCACATGCTCTCAAGGACACGTTCAATGTGCACCGGCTCAACCTGCAGGTGCGGCACGGTGCTGTACGGTACGATACGGTGTATGAGTTAGAATGCGCATGGGGCTGATCAGGCCTACTTGCTGGCATATGGCTCTCACGCCCTCAAGACACGTTTAATGTGCACTGCCTAAATCTCCAGGTACGGTACAAGAGAAGGGGCACGGCTTTGGAGTGAGTGTGTGTGTGCATGCGTGCGTGCGTGCGTATTTTTGGTTTTTTGGTTTAGGTTGAATGCAATAATTTCATTCCGTCCTGCTCTTCTGACTGCACTGCCTTCAGCATGCTGAACTGCACACATCCTCCTCCCCCTGCCCCCCTCACCCTTCCCCTCCCCCTCCCCCTCCCCCTCCCCCTCCCCCTCCCCCTCCCCCTCCCCCTCCCCCTCCCCCTCCCCCTCCCCCTCCCCCTCCCCCTCCCCCTCCCCCTCCCCCTCCCGTCCCGCTCTCCCTCCCTCTTCCCCCATCTCGCTCCCTTTTTTTTGGGTTCCTTATGTCCCATGGCCTCTTCCTGTCGTTGCTGCTGCAGGGTGTTGCGGCGTCGTTTGGCTTCAGCAGCCCGCCCAAGGTGGTGATCAACATGGATAGCAACGCGTCCAAGTTCCGTAACAAGGCACACAAAGGTGCTCGAGGTCCAGGGAAATTCAATGCCAGCAGCGGACACACATTCAGCGCGAGCAATCCGTACGGGAAACGTGAAAGTGATGACAAAAGGCAGTTCACTAGAATCTAGCTCAAGTCGAAAGATGGTGTGATCCTAGGGACTAGTAGTTCCATTATCATGACTGGATATATGGTACAAAATTATCTGCCAAACTGTTTTAAATGTGTCAGCATAAATAGTCGTGCAATAATGGAAGATCTGCGTATCAAGGCAGTGATCTGATTCGGCAGAAACATCTGATTGACCAACACCCCACAGTCCCCTAGGCATTGACAATCTGACTGCAACCGCCCTACCCAACCTGCTTTTGTGGCGTGGTGCATCTAAGGATGGATCGTCTGAATCTGTAATTCGGACGGATATCGCACCACACAAAGTCTTACCATTTTGTACCCAAATATACCGTGTAGTACCCTGCAGTACGTTCAGTGCTGGCTATGGAGTAGCCTGTGGGCGAGTCTCAATCAACTCCAGCCTCGTTGATGATGACGATGTGTTTTGTCTGTTTTGTCTGGATGATGACGGGGCTGGGGAGTCATACAATCTGAAAAGTTTCAGGCTATTCACACGCACCGTGGTTATCACCCTATCGAACATAGCGAACAAGCTGTACAAAATATGGCAGCCTTGCTGTACCACACCAACTCCAAAATCGGAAAACTTGAATTTAAAAATGCGAACAATTTCGTCTGCCAGCGCATGCAAAACTGTAAATATCTGATCACACCCTCACCGGATCGTATCGAGTAATTGCAACTCGTCGTCACCCCCTCACCGGATTGTAACTTCTTGGTGTGCTTCCTACGTACGCATCCTCGTGTACTGTAAATTTCACTGTAGCTCAATCTCTTAGCTCGACTCGACCACACTTACACAACAACCCAACCATTCCTGGCCCTGAAATGCGACACGTCGATGAGAGCGCTTCAGTACGGTATTGTTAAAATATAAAGGTTTCCGCTTTGGTTTGGTAGTTTGCCACGCGCTACGAACAAAAGCTCCACATTCCTCACCCCACTCATCAATTTCCCTTAGGTCGAAATCCTCATCACACCGCAAACCCTACCCCCGTTATCTCCACGATTCCCGGCTCTCACTCCCGCCGTGAAACCTGTTGGTACTAACTTGGTACACGTTAGTTTAAATAGCTGGCCTTGTTGACAACTGGCGGTCCCACCGAACACCTGTCGACAAAACCGTCGCATGCACGAGAGCTGGCAGAAAAACGTCTTTATGCGCTTTTATCTCCCTCCCATAGTCAGCTCGTCCTCACTGCAACTGCTATCCTGCGAAAGCGAGTGAGCGAACTATGGAGTATATGGGAGACAGATGGAATCCAAACGTCGGAACGCCAACAAAACCCCGTCGTTACTGCTGGTCCTACTATGTCTGGTAGACAGAGAGCCGTAATGGTTCATGGTGATCAATCAATGAGTTCATGACCCATCCCGGCGACCTAATGTTACCAATCCCATTCATCCCCCGAACCATCTCCTTCGCAATTTTCTCAGCTTCAACCTTCAGTCCTCAACTATAAAGTCGAGGTCGTTTAGGCCTACGCGAATTCGGGTCGCGGCAATCTGCGAAAGCTGACCTTCTGACTACTACACGAATTGGGCTCGCAGCGCTGCTCGGAGCTGTTATCTAGCCTTCCACGCGACCCTGTCACGCGACGCACTGCAGAGCTATCGAAAGCATGGCATCATGCGCGGCGCAACGCACGACGCTGCGGCCTGTAACGGCCAACACGCCGCGCGTATCTTTCCTGCGCGACAGCGACGCTAACGATTCACTGGAACGCCAAGATGATTTTGTCGCGGCGGCTACTGCTGCTGTCGTCAGCAGTGAAACCACACTTGACGCCTCCCCCGCCGCTAAAACCGCCGCTGAAGCCGCCTTTGAAACCGTTGCTGAAGCCGCCGCCGCTTGTAAGGCCCCCGTCGTACTTCGCGCGGGAACGTTGGCGGCGCGGCGGAAACTCAAATGCGGCTCGCTGCGCCTCGACGTGTCCCTTGAAGTTGACGATTACGAAGGCGCCGACGACCATCCGGACGACGCGGTTGATAGTAATCTGCACGGTCGCTGCGGCGCCATTGCCGGCGCGAGTGAAGATCACTTTTCCTTCGAGACGCCGCCGCATGTGATGCTGCTGCCGGCGGCTGTGGCGACCGCGACGTCGCCCACGATCGCATGGTCGTCGCGCGGGCGACGGTTCCGCAAGTCGTCCTCCGCGTCCTCCGCTCCCCTCTCCGTCGCCGACGGAAGCGCCACTCCTGCGAACGACGCCGCGTCGCGACATGCAGACTTCTCGGAAACAGCAGCGGCATTGCTGGCAGCGGCGGCGTTTCCGCGAGCTGCGTCTGCTGGCGCCGCGTTTACCAAGCCCCCGCGAAGCCCGCTGGCTTCCCTCACGGTGATCTCCCCTTTCTCCCCTCCGCTTGGCGCGCAGCAGCTTTCGCCGGACGTGGCTCGTCACGCGGACGATCCACGTGGCACCACCACCTCGCACAAGCCCCTGCGCCGCAGGAAGGAGAATCGTCATGATCACCCGGCGGCAGAGCCAGCTGCGCGGCGGCAGGCCGCTGCGCGGCAGCTCGCAGAGCTGGCGCGCGGGGGGCTGCTCTCCCCAGCTATTCTCACTGCTGACTCTGCCTCTTCTGGAACTAGCCTGAGGCGCTCTGCTAGCACCCGTAGGGGTTCCACAGCGCCCTCCACTCCAACGGGCCTGCTAACCGCTCCCTCTACGAGCAGCAGCAGCAGCTCTGCAGGAAGCACCACCAGGGCCCCTGTTCCTAGCGGGGGATCCGCAGTGACGAGTCCCATCGCCGTGGTCAGGCTGAGCAGTCGCGTGGGGTTCGTCAACTGGCGCCACCTGCCGCATCGCCCCGGCACCGCACCACACCCGCCGTCACCGCACTCCGTCTCACCGCAGTCCGCGTCACCGCGCTCCATTTCCCCGCGCTCCTCGTCCATGGTCGCCAAGTGTGGCAGCGGCAGTGGCGTTAGCCGGCGGCAGACCTTCACCATCCGAGACACCCAGGATGTTGCTGCAGCGGCAAGCCATGGCAATGCGACAGAGATTGATAGGGGCATGTCTCGGAGCTGGAGCTGGAGCAGTAGCAAGGGCGCGAGAGACGCTCACTGCACTGGTGCTCGTGTTCCTGCTACTTCCGTCGCTGCTTCCGCTGCCACTGCCGCTGTTGGCGATATTTCCAACAGCAAGCCCGCTTCCGTCGCTCTTTCAGTTGTGCCACCTTCACCCAGCAGCACCCCCCTCTCAATACAGTCACGACCACCTCTTGGTGCATTCTCTGTTCGCTCGCACTCTGCAGGCTCCAGCCAATTGGACCGACCGGCTGGATTTGGCCTGCCGCCGCTCTCGCCCCAAGGGCTCTCGTTACAAGCATCCTCAACAAAGTCGCCAGCGAATGCTGCGCATTCCAACACAGGTTTTTCTTTCAGGTCTCTGTCTGCTGAATCCAGTCTGCTGAACAGCCAGACCTGCTACAATCCCCAGCAGCTGCCGCAGCCTGCAAATCTACAAGTGTTCATCCCATTACAGTCATCACCCCAGATGTCACCCCCTTTATCCCCTCTTTTTGCGTCACCCTTGGGCACGCCGTTGTCATCGCCACTCCGGAGTGCTCTCAAGTACTCGCCTTCCACGGATGGTCGTAGGGCATCGATGGAAGATTTTGAAGTGCAACGTCAGTGTGGAGCCGATGCTTGCTGCTCTACCGAGAATGAGAGGGGATCACTGAAGCGGAGAGTGTCGTTTTCAGACAATCTCCATGTGATATCTCTATGAGATAATGGCTGATTCTAGTTGCTCAAGAATTTGAGGTGGATGTTTGCATCTACGTTTTCGCCAGAGCATTTGAGCTCTGGATGTGGTAGATCGAATCGAACTCCTATGTGCTGAATTCTATGTACGGTACCGTATGGGCAATTCACCTAATAAAATGGTGGAGATCTCTATGTTGTTGAATTCTTCTGTTGGAATTTGGCGCACACCCAAACGCGTTAGTGGGATAAGGGCGTTCAAGCCACCCGCTCCGTACGTTATGCCTTGGATCTTTTCACGCTTTTGGGACGTGGTGCATCTGTTGTTCAGACAGCTATCGCACCAAACCGATTTGTAACGCGTTGAAACCAAATATGTGTAAAATGCTCCAGTGTTTGACCCCAAGATCTCAAAAAGCCCTCCAACGCGTCAAATCGATGAGAGATGTTTTATACGGTTTAGACGTTTTCTCTTCGGTTTCTGAATTTGTTTCGCACTGAGCAATTACTCCTCAGCAGGTGACGACAGTGCATGGCAGCCCTTGAGGTTGCTGCCACCGAAGCGGCTTCTTGTGGGTCAGAATGCTCCACGATGTGGTTTGATTTTCCGCAAAAATGCATAAGTGATCCCCGTATTCCTCCAACTATATTACACCATGTTCACATATTAGGTCCCCGAAATCGCCGCTTAGGTCGCTCTGCAGCGCGCCAGCCAGCGAAATCGCCGCTTAGGTCGCTCTGCAGCGCGCCAGCCAGCGAAATCGCCGCTTAGGACGCTCTGCAGCGCGCCAGCCAGCGAAATCGCCGCCTAGGACGCTCTGCAGCGCGCCAGCCAGCGAAATCGCCGCTTAGGTCGCTCTGCAGCGCGCCAGCCAGCGAAATCGCCGCTTAGGACGCTCTGCAGCGCGCCAGCCAGCGAAATCGCCGCCTAGGACGCTCTGCAGCGCGCCAGCCAGCGAAATCGCCGCTTAGGTCGCTCTGCAGCGCGCCAGCCAGCGAAATCGCCGCTTAGGTCGCTCTGCAGCGCGCCAGCCAGCGAAATCGCCGCTTAGGACGCTCTGCAGCGCGCCAGCCAGCGAAATCGCCGTTTAGGACGAGCCTCAGATCCGGCGCTGCAAATCAGCGCCCCCACATTGAGACCGGCTGCCCAGGTGCGGGATCCACGCCCCGACATCGAGACACGTGACGTCACAGCGGAACCATGGAAGACAGCCCGGACCCCGGGGATGCCGGGGTCCGGGAGGGAGGAGGACGTGACGGCAAGGCGAAATGGGCCACCGGAAGCACGGAGGAAGGAATGACAACGATGACTTCAAAGGCGACCTGCCCAATAGCCGGGCACAAGAGGGGGAGAGAGCCTACGGAGCAGCAGGAGGGACCACTCGTCCGCGGCATGTGCGACAAAGTCACTAGGTGCCTCCACGACAATCTGACCAAGAGGCAACGCCTCGATACCGACCTAGGCGTGGCCACTAGAGAAGTGGTCGAAAGTGGCAATGGAGAGCACAGGCAAGGCAACACCTCCGACGCGGCGATGGCAGCTTGGGAGGCACATCGCCAGCGTCTACAGGAGTCGCATGACAAGCGTCGGCGAGAACTTAACACCCCTTTAGCACGCCCGGCACTCACTAAATGCGACAACTCAGCGACATGTGGTCCCCGATTAGCCCGAAGACAGGAACGGAGGCGCAAATCAGGAGTTCCGCGGGGTCAAGGGGAAGGAGCGCGGCGAGGCCCGCAAGCCCGGGGGCAGCAGGAGCCGCAGGCTGGGGGGGAGCAGGAGCCGCAGGTTGGGGGGGAGCAGGACCCGCAGACTGGGGGGGAGCAGGACCCGCAGACTGGGGGGGAGCGGGACCTGCAGGCTGAGGGGGAGCAGACGTTGGAGTTGGAGATGGAGATGGGGAGGCAATGGGAGCTGCCTATTGGAAGGCAGCAAAAGCTGCAGGATGGGGGGCAGCAGGAGCTGCAGGCTGGGAGGCAGCAGGAGCTGGAGGCTGGGGTTGAATGGGACCCGCAGGTTGGGAAGGAGCAGGAGCCGCAGACAAAGGGGCAGCAGGCTTTGGAGGCGGAGATGGAGATGGGGGGGCAGCAGCAGCTGCCGGCTGGAAGGCAGCAAGAGCTGCAGGCTGGAGGGCAGCAAGAGGGGCCGACCTGGAGGCGGCAGGAGCTGCGGGCTGGGAGGCAGCAAGAGGGGCCGGCTGGGGGGCAGCAGGAGTCGCAGGCTGGGTGGGATCAGGACCGGCAGGTCGAGGGGCAGCAGGCTTCGGAGGCGGTGATGGTGATGGAGATGGGGGGGCAACAGGAGCTGCCGGCTGAAAGGCAGCAAGAGCTGCAGGCTGGAGGGCAGCAGGAGCCGCAGGCAACGAGGCAGCAAGAGCTGCCGGCAGAGGGGAAGGAAGACCCGCAGGCTGGGGGGGAGCAGGAGTCGGAAGTGGACATGGAGATAGAGATAGGAATGGTAACGGAGCAGCAGGTCGAGAGACAGCTTGGGCTGCAAGCTGAGTGGCCGCAGGTGTTGGAGGTGGAGATGGAGGAGGCACAGGAGGAGGGGGGGGAGAGCGGCAGGGAAGCGTACAGGAGGGGTGTCAAACGGAGAATCAGTCTCAGCCGCAAGAAGGGGAGCAGCAAGGGTGTCGAGAAAGGAACCGGCCCCAAGAGCGTAGAAGCATGCAACTTGAAGAGCCGATCAGTGGGTTGCAAGAGCAACAGGCGCGGGTTCAGCAGGGGGTCGCTAGCCCGGGCGGCGCAGGCCAAGCGAAAAGGTCGCGAGCTCGGGGCCGAAGAGGGAGACGACACGCAGCCAAGTTGCAAGGAGCATCCCAGGGCGAGCAGCAGCCAGGGGGTCAGCAGGGGTCGACAAGGGCGCCTCAGGGGGTGCTGCAGGCCGGGGAGGTGCCGGAGGCGACAGAGGCAACCCAGGGAGGGTGGCAGACCGGTGGTCGGGCGGAGAGGACTAGGGCACCCCGGGGAGTGCAGCAGCCAGGGGGGCAGCCGGGGGTGACAGGGGGACCCCATAGAGCGCCCGGAGCACCCCAGGGAGCGCAGCAGGCAGGAGGGGAGCCGAGGGTGCCCGGGGCACCCCAGGGAGTGCAGCAGGCAGGAGGGGAGCCGAGGGTGCCCGGGGCACCCCAGGGAGTGCAGCAGGCAGGAGGGGAGCCGAGGGTGCCCGGGGCACCCCAGGGAGTGCAGCAGGCAGGAGGGGAGCCGAGGGTGCCCGGGGCACCCCAGGGAGTGCAGCAGGCAGGAGGGGAGCCGAGGGTGCCCGGGGCACCCCAGGGAGTGCAGCAGGCAGGAGGGGAGCCGAGGGTGCCCGGGGCACCCCAGGGAGTGCAGCAGGCAGGAGGGGAGCCGAGGGTGCCCGGGGCACCCCAGGGAGTGCAGCAGGCAGGAGGGGAGCCGAGGGTGCCCGGGGCACCCCAGGGAGTGCAGCAGGCAGGAGGGGAGCCGAGGGTGCCCGGGGCACCCCAGGGAGTGCAGCAGGCAGGAGGGGAGCCGAGGGTGCCCGGGGCACCCCAGGGAGTGCAGCAGGCAGGAGGGGAGCCGAGGGCGCCCGGGGCACCCCAGGGAGAGCAGCAGGCAGGGGGGCAGCCGGGGGTGCCCGGGGCACCCCAGGGAGTGCAGCAGGCAGGAGGGGAGCCGAGGGTGCCCGGGGCACCCCAGGGAGTGCAGCAGGCAGGAGGGGAGCCGAGGGTGCCCGGGGCACCCCAGGGAGTGCAGCAGGCAGGAGGGGGGCTGAGGGTGCCCGGGGCACCCCAGGGAGTGCAGCAGGCAGGAGGGGAGCCGAGGGTGCCCGGGGCACCCCAGGGAGTGCAGCAGGCAGGAGGGGAGCCGAGGGTGCCCGGGGCACCCCAGGGAGTGCAGCAGGCAGGAGGGGAGCCGAGGGTGCCCGGGGCACCCCAGGGAGTGCAGCAGGCAGGAGGGGAGCCGAGGGTGCCCGGGGCACCCCAGGGAGTGCAGCAGGCAGGAGGGGAGCCGAGGGTGCCCGGGGCACCCCAGGGAGTGCAGCAGGCAGGAGGGGAGCCGAGGGTGC